TGCATCGAAGAGGCCCTCCGCGTCTACCCGCCCTCCCCGCAACCGCACCACCGCATCGTGCCCGCCGGCGGCGCGACCGTCGACGGCGTCTTATTGCCCGAGGGAACGTCCGTTAGCATACCCATCTACGCTGCCTCCCACAGCCTCCTCAATTGGACGTTGCCGGAGGAGTTTATACCTGAGCGATGGATGACGACGAAGGATGGTGGCAACGAGGACGGGGTAGGCGATGAGGATGTGGACGTGCGGCTGTTTGCTGGAGACCAGCGTGATGCGTCGCAGCCTTTCCAGGTTGGGCCGCGAAATTGCATTGGCAGGAACTTGGCGTATGCGGAGATCAAGATCATCATGGCGAGGTTGGTGTGGCAGTTCGATATTGAGAATGCTACAGAGGGGGATTGGATTGGGACGCAGAAGGTGTTCATGGTCTGGGAGAAGGCACCGCTGTGGGTGAAGCTACATCCTGTGTAAAGAGATTGAAGAGAGATGAGTTTTGGGGATTGATTGTGCAATTGAAGGAAGGCAAGTTTCAAACGAGAAGGATTTCTTGAGTTCCCAAGTTCGCGAGTTCCCACCGCTAGACATCTACTTTTGCGCCTTCCGTAGAGCGCTCATTATCACTCTTTGCAATGTTGCGCTTGTTTGGCCATGTTGGGTTTGATGAATATAGTTACGATATAGAAATCAGTCCAATCGAAAACCTGAGTAAGTGGTGGTCCGGAGCTCGTCTTCGAAGCTCTCATCGGTGGTAACGACAGCGACGTGGTTGCTAAAAGACGCGTCGAAACCTTACGATAGTGCAACTTGGCCGACCAAATTCACCCAACTCCATGTGGATTCACCATCTAACCCCACAATTCGTCAAGCACAATAGCTCAGGGGTAGAGCGCTGGGCTCATAACCCAGAGGTCCCTGGATCGAAACCAGGTTGTGCTATTTCCTTTTGTTTTGGTGAGCTTCCATTGTTGAAAGCCATCGCCCTTTTGCGCAATTTGGGGATCTTGGATTGTGTTGCTATCAACTGGCCTCTGAACGCGTTTTTTTGGAGTTGGGGTTCCACGGATCCCACGGCTTCCCCAAATGCCAAAGTAACTGTTGTCCGCTGTACTCTAAACCCCACCAATTGGATCATCCACATGAGCTATTCAGACTCTACAACTTGCCTCTTTGAGAAGCGTCGAGAGCGTTCAATATCATGGCAGATTGGAATACGAGATTCTGTGCTGTAGGTGGCTGACAGTTGATGCACTCCTCTATCACGCTATCTTCGATGTTCGCAGGGCGCCGCACCCTTGCCAACTCTGGGCCACCTAAGGCTAAATAAAGTCCACCAAAAAGTTAAGGTAGATTAAGCTTATGGACGCGGGCGAGGTTAAAAGTGCCACACCCGGCAGCTAAAACGAACAACGGCCCCCGGCTTCGTCGGCTACGGCGGGGATATTGGAACTTGAGAGATACGGATATCAGAGCACATCGACAGCGTCTAGGATGAAGATTAATTTAAGCTCGTCTGCTCACTTTGTTGCAGTGACGTGCTCCAAGACTGTAGCGGCGTGCGCTCGGCCCACTGTGATCTTCGAATACGACCTGCGGCCCCACGACCTAGAGTTCGGTTGTCGGCCGATGGTGACTGTCGCATCGCAGTGGTGTTGGAAGAGAGTTGGGGATGCTTCTAGCTCCTTGTTTCTCTCATTCTCAACTCTGATTCTCATTCTAAAGCATAAGCCTGAACTGTCTCTGGAATTTACCTTGATTCATACTTCTCAGCCGATTATGACAATTGGAAAAGCAGATCAGATGCGAAAGCGAGGATGTCTTTGCCGGCTTGGCAACTATCAAGCAACTCAATTATCACTGAAAGACGAGGCAAAGATCTCCACGAACCCCAAGGGCCCGGAAATTTCGCTACCCATTCAGGAAGGTCCCAATTTCTCGTGTTCACTCACGATCCGTCGCCCGTCACTTGCAGGCTCGCACACTCGCAATCCCAGACCCAACTCCACGCCATCAAGTGCACTGAGAGAAAGAAACATGTAGAGAAACACTATTTATACACGCTCACGATGTGCTCACTCGCCTCTTTTGAAGGAGTTCCTTTCGCTACCGCCGGTCATTCGTTTCATTTCCAGCGCCCACCGCCATCACCATGAGGTTCTCCTCCAATGCCTCCCTCTTGCTGGGGCTCCTTGCCTCTGCATCGCATGTTGTCGTTGCTGCCGATGATGCTACTGCTGCTGCACCTGCAGTCAACGAAGATGCTTTCGTTCAGGGCGCCTATATCGTCGAGCTCAACGGCGAACAGGACCCCTCAGCGCTCTACGCCGAGTTGCGCTCCGACGGTCTTGCCGTGAAGCCCCGCCTGGACCTCAAGTTCGGCCTCTTCAACGGTGCCTCCTTCAGCGTCGACGACGCCGGCGAGCCCGACATCACCACCGCCAAGATCGCAGACAAACTCAGCGTCAAGGGCGTCTGGCCGGTCCGCAAGATCAAGATGCCCAAGCCCGTGGGCACATCCATCGGCCGCAACGGGACCGCTTCCGGCGCTGCACTCTTGCGCTCCCTCAAGGACAGACGCGACGAGGCCGCAAAGGACACCTACAGCACCCACGTCATGACACAGGTCGACAAGCTCCGCGAGGCCGGGTTCACGGGCAAGGGCATCAAGGTCGCTATCGTCGACACGGGCGTGGACTACAGACACCCCGCTCTTGGCGGCTGCTTTGGCGAGGGCTGCCACGTCGCGTACGGCTGGGATTTTACGGGTGACAACTACTACGAGAGCTCCGACGCGCCTACTCCTGACGCAGATCCCCTCGATACCTGCCAGGGCCACGGTACGCACGTCGCAGGTATCATAATGGCGCAGGAGAACGAGCTTGGGTTCACGGGTGCAGCGCCGGATGTCACGCTCGGCGCGTACAAGGTCAGCGGATGCGCTGGGTACACGACAAGCGAGATTCTGGTGTCTGCTTTCTACCGCGCCTACGAGGACGGAAGCGACGTCATCTCGTGCTCTGCGGGCGACGATTCGGGTTGGGCGAGCGATGCCGCTGGTGTCGCTGTCTCGCGTATCGCCGAGGCTGGTATTCCCGTCGTCGTTGCGGCTGGCAACTCTGGTAACTTGGGAGTCTGGGCTGTGGCCTCGCCGGCGTCTGGAAAAGCTGTTGCTGGCATTGGGTCCGTTGACAACACCATTTTGCCTAATCTCATGAAGCGCGGCACGTTCGTCAACGAGACGGGCGAGTTTGCCTTTGGATGGGCTGACAGCACCCCGGTCACCACTGCGAACGTGACCATGCGTCTGTGGATTGCGGGTGCAAATGTCACGGCCTGCAACCCGATCCCGGCAGATATCGACTTGACTGATTCTATTCCCTTGATCTCCATGGACGCAGGGTGCCAATCCGATGTCCAGGCCGCGAACCTCCTCGCCAGAGGCGCGAAGTACATCCTCTTCTATCCTGCTAGCGAGTCGTAAGTCTACCATTCCTCACAATGGGATCCTGTGGAGAGAAGTGGCTAATGGGAGGTCAGTAGGCTCTATCCTCCGTACGTCTACACCGAGGGCATCCTTGGCATCGGAATGGTCATGCCCCGCCAGGCCCAGGAGTGGAAAGCCCACGCCGAAAACGTTACCATTACCATCGGACCCCCGGAGACCTCCGGCCTCTTCGCCGAGCCCATCACCAATGGCCCGACCGCCGGCTACACCAGCCCCTTCTCCAGCTACGGTCCGACCTGGGAGCTCGATGTGAAGCCCCAATTCACCGCCCCCGGCGGCGGCATTCTCTCCACCTGGACTTGGGACCAGGGCGAGTACATGGTCAACCCGGGCACCTCCATGTCTACTCCCTTCGTCGCCGCCGTCTACGCTCTCGTCGGCCAAGTCCGCGGTACCCTCGACCAGGAGACCCTCCGCTCCGTTATCGCCGCCACAGCCCAGCCGAAGGCCTGGAATGATGGGACCGTTGCTCACGATGATATCCTTGCCCCTGTGCCGCAACAGGGCGCCGGCCTCGTACAGGCTTGGGACGCCGCTCACGCCACTACGATCCTCGGCTCGACGGGCATCTCCTTCAACGATACAGACCACTTTGTCGGCGAGCACACCTTCAGCGTGAAGAACACGGCCGCTGAAGAGGTCGCCTACAAGCTTGGCCACGCTAAGTCCGTAACCGTCTACACCTTCACCCCCGGCGAAGCCCAGCTCAACGTCGCCCGGGCCCCGCCCCCGACTGTCGACGAGTGGGCCACCATCAAGTTCGAAGCCGACACTCTGACTGTCCCCGCCGGCGGCAGCGCCGAGGTCAAGTTCACTGCCGTGCCTCCCTCCGGCCTCAACGCCACGCTCTTGCCCGTGTACAGCGGATACATCACCCTCGAAGGAAGCAATGGCGAGACCTTATCCGTGCCGTACCTCGGCGTCGGCGGAAGCATGCGCGACACACCCGTCCTAGTTCCCGGCCTCGGCCTGAACGGGGTCTACCTCTCCTCCACAGACAACCACTTCCTCATCCCCGTCGCCGCGAACCGGACTTTCACCATTCCGCGTCCCGGGTCTACGGGCAGTGCCATCTATCCCAAGATGGTCGTGACCCCGACCGTCGGCACCACCGATCTGCACGTCGAGCTCGTTGCCCTCGAAAGAAGCGGCAACTCTACCCTCAAGGTCACTGATGCGCTCGGGTACCCGACCCTCGGCGCGCTGCCGCAGTCGCCAGTTGCGTATGCGCATAGGTTTGGGTACACTTGGAATTTTGGCGGCTTATTGGCCGATCGGACTGTTGTGCCTGAGGGCAGCTATGCGTTTATTGCGCGCGCGCTGAGGATCTTTGGAGATGCGAGCAAGGAAGAGGACTGGGACGTTGTTGAGACTGTGCCGTTTATCTTGAAGTATCTTGCATAGACACATAGCTGCGGGTTTGATTCCCGCAGAAAAAAACTAAGATATAATGCATTCGCAATCAAGTGCAGGATAGCCTCCATGTCACTAGATGACTTCAAGATGCCATATGTTTCTGCACAAAACCTGCGTAGTCAAAGATTGCCCGCTTATAGAAACGCTCTTGGGTCGTCTGGTTGTATCCTTGCACCCCGTACTTGTCGTCATACTGACCCCATTCCCAATTGTCAAGATAAGACCAGCCATACAGCCCCTTGACGTGGACACCATCGATGTTGATTGCCTTTAGAACCTCATTCAGGATGGGAACGTAAAATTCGGACTGCGCTAGATCACTTCTGATATGGGGCACAGACATGTCGGACGCCTTGAAAGCCGGGAGGCCGAACTCTGCGATGGTGATACCGCCTTTAGCCGGGTACGTAGTTTGTAGGAAACCGAGAATCGACCGCACATGCTCCGCTGGCACCTATTGATATCAAATCAGTTGCATCCTCCAAAAACTTAAAAATTCAAACTCACCGCAGGCCTGTCAACGTTTCCATGGAAGTTTGCCTCCCACCCTCCTCCTCGTGAGGTGGTGGTAACGGTGCACTCAGGGTAGAGAGGATGCTTCGAGTCAGCTGCACATGCTGCAAAGCCACCTCCAGGTTCCGAATGATATGAAGCGGTGTAAATATCAAACGCAAAGAAGTCAGCAGTACCATTGAACAATTCGAGCTCCTCGTCTGTGTACGAAGGAACCCGATCACCAACGGTATCGATCATAGACTGCGGCACATTCTCGCACAAGAACAACGGCCGCGCAAAATACCCAATGGTGTACTCGTTACGTCTGATTGCGGCTGCGACATCTGACGCGTTCCCCGGGTCCAAGGGCAGCGCAAAACCGGTCCCGCTAAGGTCAAACTTCATGCTCCAGAGTGCATCACCCTGGATGGCGTCCCGGTACCACCGCACAACCTTGGCGTGGGCCTCGAGGACGAAGCGGCTGGGCTGCCATGCACCGGTTATGGCCGCCTCGATAGTGGGCTCGTTGAAGGTATACCAGGTGCCTACGCGATCCGAGTAGTGCGCGAGCACCGTCTGTGCATAATATATGAAGCCATCAACGAATTCTGGGTGGTCAAACGACAAGGAAGAGGTGTTTGACTGGAAGTAGGCCGGGGTATCAAAGTGGTGTAGTGTCACGACGGGCTTCATACCATACGCGAGGACGGTGTCGATGACGTCGTTGTAGTGATCGATGCCTTGCTTGTTGATGGGAGATCCGCGGACGCCAAAGGGGACGATACGGGACCAGGAGATGCTGAAGCTGTAGGACTGCACCCCCACGGCGGCAAGCCGGGCGATGTCTTGTTTGTAGAGGTAGTAGTTCATTGCTGCGATGTCGGGCGGGCCGCTGCCAGGGCCGGAGGAGGAGTAGTTCCCCCTGGAGCGGTTTTCCCAGATACTCGGACCACGACCTTCGTTCTGTATGGCTCCTTCGATTTGTAAGGCTGCGCCGGCAAATCCCCATTCAAAGGCCTTGGGAAATTTGAGCGTTCCGTTGCCTGTTGTGCCTGGTGGTGGTTGGAGGGGTAGAGGCGGGGGCTTGATGAGTTCAGCGCTTGGGATCGGGGTTGGTGAAACGCTTGTGGTGAAGGGTGGTGAAAGGACGGGAATGGGGGCCCAAAGGGAAGATAGGGCAGCGTTGCCGTATTCTACATCTTGATCTGTCGGGACCACACCGGGAGCATCCCAAGTTTTGGTAGATCGTGGTTCAAGTAAGGTGGAAAGCTCGGAGTAGGGGCGGGCATGTGTGGGCGTCTCCACCGCCGCGGAGACAGGAGTGGCATACTCCAGAGGTCTGAAGGATGGCCATTGAAACTCATCTTGGGCAGCGACCTGAACAAGGCAGCTTCCGCGCGGATGTCAGCAATGGGAAAATTTATTAGGTAGGTGATAACACAATGACATGACCTACAGAGCCAGAACAGGCATCCGCTGGAGGTTGTAAGCCTGAATCCTCATGATGACTGTTGCTCTACAGTTGAATGAGGAACTTTATTAGATGACTCTGAACTCGATGGCCGAGGGGCCAGTAGCATGCCTTTATAGCAATCACGAATGTATGCGGACTTGACTTCACAGGTGGCGGTCTTCGACTTGAATCTTTTTCGACTGAGGCCGTTATAGTGCCGAACTGCGAATATTCACCAGGTATACGTCATAGGTAAACATGTTTGTTCATAATGGCATGGCTTCTTGCTTCTTACTCCCAGCCGAGAGCTCTCCTGCTAGTCTTTCAACATGCTGGCAAATCACAATGGACTTGAATCGGTGGCATGTCGGCAGGATTGAGGAGTCAGACAAGGTGTCAAGGGTTTGCATCATTGCTGCATAGGGGAGAAGATCCGTACATCTGGATAGCATGGAACAATAAACTTCCAATTGGTTACCAATCGTACGCTCTACCCACGGGGAAGTCAAGGCATGTTGAAGCGCGGGGTCACGGTACGCAGATAGCCAGAGTTTTCCCGAGAACTAGATGAGAAGTAGCTTGAAGGCGGGGAAATCCTGCACATTTATGGTGTCATTCGCCAGCTTCTTCTGTATGATGCGTCCGGGGCTAGAGATGTCGGGGTTTTACGCGTATAGAATACGAAGTAACAAATGTCATCCTGTCATCCGAGGATTGGTTACAATGGGGCTGGTCTATGGTGTGATTTCTCATGGGCAATGAGAAATGATTCCCCGGTTCGGAGTCAAATCATTTAGGACGGGAGTCCTTTCCACGATGTGACTGGGTAAACGAGTTTTAAACCACGAGCGACTGGAGCACTAGGCACGTCTATGTTGTGAATTGGATACTTGGTTATTCCACGGCAAACACTTCAAACGTGGCACGTCTATGGAGTATGGAGACCTCCCGTCGAAGCCTTGAAGAATTTGAACATCTCCCACGCTTGCTCTTTATTGTGTCGAGTTCCATCAGACACGAACTAATAAGGCTCATTGCGTATGGTTGGTTCTTCGTCGTGGATCTCTACGACTTTACCGTTGAGACTTGCATCGCCTATAATCTGCGATACGCCCTTGATCAGGGTAGACATTGGTGTGACCACCATGTGTTTATACATTTCTGGGTCGGGGATGATGTTCGTGACTGATCTCGCATTAGTGATCTGGTGGGGATATTGCCCTTGAATTTTGTTGAGCTTCTTATCTAGAGCTGCCGGTGCCATCGTGTTGATCTGGATCTTGAGATTTTCAAGTATGGGAGCTGTTGACCGTACGAGACCAATCACGCCAGCCTTTGCCGCTGCGTACAACGGTCCAACTAGGAATGGATAAAGAGCGGCATCTGACGCAGTGAAGATGATGGAGCCACGAGAGCTCCCGCATGTTGGGTTCTTGCTGATGTAGTGAATGGCAAGCTTAACAGTTACGAAAGGCGATGATAGCCTCGAAGTCATGCACAAACTGGAAGAAACTAGCAGCGGAATCCAAACTGAGTTTCACTTACAATATATGACACCATTCAAATCCACGGCTACAACCTTGAGGTTCGGTTCCTGGGGAGCGTCGGAGTGGATAGTTGCAAGGGCGTTCGCTATCCCTTCGGCTATACCAGCATTTGCAAAGACAATATCTATCCTGCCAAATGCATCGTAGACATCCGAGAATGCCTGAGTCTGTTCTTTCCACAAAGAAACATCGCAATGATGGAAGGTTACCGTAGATTGAGGATACTCTGAAGCAACGTCGGACACAATGGACTTGCCAGAAGCTGCGTTGACATCGAAGATGGCAACGCAGCCGCCCTGCGAGGCAAAGTGGCGTACTATGGTGAGGCCGATGCCGCTGGCGCCGCCGGTGACGATGATTGATTTTGGGGTGGTACCAATTGCCATTGTGACTCATGTAGGAGGGTGATGTGAGGGATTCGAGTGAAGTTAGTGATGAAATAAGGAAGTCATTGCTGAGGAGCCGATGAGCATGGTATATCAGAAAATCAAGGGACAGAATGCCGTGCTCATGCGTTTGTTTGCTTAGTGACTTTAGTCTAGTGACACCCTCGTCAGAGTCCAAGATCGCAGTTCATGGATTACGGACGCTGAAATGAGGTTAAGCAATGTGCCAGGAATAAAGCTAGGTTGACAAGTATGGACCACGAAGTTTCCCTGGGATCTCGCTACATTGGTCCCGTCATTGAGAGACAGGGTCGATGGCGACTTGAGAAAGCCAGTTCTAATGCAGAAAGACACCGTCTCCGGCCCTCGTGGGTGCAGGCATATGGTATGGCATTTGAAGACCATGTCCCGAGTCGGCGTACGATTCTATCGCAAAAGTAAAAGCTCATCTGTTCGGAGACTTCGTCGCGTAGTTCCATTGGGCAGAAGGGGGGTTTTGACTTTGGACGTATTGACGAATCGAAACAGTAGACCTGACGCAGTCGAAGAGGACAATTCCAGTTCTTTCGGAGTTGAATAGACGAAACGCCAGCTCCGAGAGATTCAGTCTGAACCGACTCCCTCCAAACACGCTCCTCCACTGCTATAGAGCAGCATTTACCTCCGCAAACTCCGTAACTTTGCGGGTGATCCCGATACAGACATGGGCATTCGATGGAGCATTCGATCCAGGCCGCCGGCGTCACTAAACACGTTCCACCGCCGGACCCCCCGCCCTTGATCCACTCTCCACGACAAAATTGCCAAAACAATGGGTGGCCGACCGCTCCTCCGTGCAAGTCTGAAAGCGCCGATTCAGACGATGTCGCGTGTGCTGACTTGAGGAACGATGTTGCTAGATTGTCAGACGTCTACCAGAAATACATGTATCTATATAGAGTTGGTCTGGCGCTCCCCATGATCATCATTGAAGACCTGGTTCGCCTTCCACTTTGCGTAGAACACGTTAGACACGCCCATTCTCACAGATAATATCAAACACAAGGCGCGAGCGCTATAGACTAATTTTCAACAACAGGCAAAATCTTCACGACATATCACTCAACATGGTTGCAGCCCGCAAAGATGAGCGCATCCCGATTGCGATCGTGGGAATGGGATGTCGCTTCCCAGGTGATGCGACATCGCCGTCCAAATTCTGGGACCTCCTGAAAAATGGAAGAGGTAAGGAGCTGGTCATCATGGGGCTGAGTATTGCAAACCTCTGCTAATTCAAATCAAGATGTCTACTCCCCGGATACGGATCGGTGGGACTCGGACGCCTTTCACCACCCCAATAGCAAAGATCGCGTCAATACTTTAGCCACGAAAGGAGGGCACTTCCTGAAGGAGGATCCCTATCTGTGGGACGCATCCTTATTCAATATCACAGCAGCCGAGGCCATGTCTCTCGATCCGAAGCAGCGTATCATGATGGAAGTCGCGTACGAGGCGCTCGAGAACGCCGGCATGCCCCTGCCAAAGGTCGCCGGCTCGTAGACTGCGTGTTACATCGGCTCCTCGACGAGCGACTACAGAGACATGGTCACGAGGGACTTCGCAAACTGGCCCAAGTATTACATCCTCGGCAACTGCGAGGAGATGGTCTCGAATCGTATTTCGCACTTTCTCGACATCCACGGCCCCAGCGCTACCGTCCAGACGGCGTGTTCCTCATGTCCGGTGGCTGTGCACTTGGCCTGCAGGAGTCTCCACTCCGAAGAGTCGGAAGTGGCCATCGCGGGTGGTGTTGGTTTGACGCTCACCCCCGATGGCAACATTTAGCTGGCCAACTTGACGTTCTTCAACCCCGAGGGCCATTCTCGGTCGTTTGATGTAGATGCTGGTGGCTATGGTCGCGGTGAAGGTGCTGACGCCCTCATTCACAGGCGGCTGGACAAGGCGCTTGCTGATGGAGATCCTATCCGTGCTGTCATCCGGGCCACGGGCGCCAACCCGGACGGGTGGGCACAAGGTGTGACGCTGCCTTCTGGCGAGGCACAGGCGTCGCTCATCAAGTATGTCTGTCGGCTAACCTAAAATGCTGGCTCGTTATGCTTGCGGTTTGCTTCGGTTAGGCATCTCACGATTCGGGTTACGTGCCGGAGACAGCTCATATGTTGCCGGAGGAGAAGCCCGTGAGATCGGAGTCTTGTGTTTGTATTGCTATGGATCAGAAAGGCCTCTCTGTCGTATTCTGTAAGGCCTCAGCTTGTAGTTCCTGAGACAAGCCGTAAGCAGGTCATACCCAGGCTCTCATCATTCGGCTTCTGTTCGTCCCTAATTCCTGGACACAAAGTTATGGTGCACCGATATCTTGGTTCAATATGCCGCCTGAGCTGGCTGGAAAGAGGCCGGAGTTAATCGACACAACACTCTGGAGACACGGTGCCAAGTTTCAGATCCGAAAAGCCCTCTCGGCATGATGTGCGGATTCAATGGCTGATACGGTACCAGAGTGATTGAAGATAAAAATGTAAGGCAAGAGAGCGAAAGCCTCTGAGAAACAGGAAGGGCAGCTAATTTGGCCAATCAAAGCGTTTTTCGACGTGCTCTCAAACAGCTTGATGTTATCGTGTCAAAGGGTCCTGTGCCGTTTGATTCGTTTTGTTTGTGTTCACCTACCTCACCTCAACTAAGTTAGCCTTGCACTTGAGAAATAGCATCTTGAATCAATGAGTTTTGCTAGGGCTGCAAAACTGCGGACTATTGAATGCAATACTTCTTTCTCAAAGGCCCTTATTCACGATGTCTTTCTTCTTATGTATTGCAGAACTTCAAGGGTTCAGCCGCTGGGCGGTCTTGATTTCCGGTCTGGTGAGATACCGCAAGTACTCCAGGTCTATGCTTGGCTGACAGAACTAGGTCGTGGCGTCCTTTTCCTGTTTAACGGTCTACAGGGCTTTTTTCCATCCGCTCAACAAATCTCCGGGTCCAATTGTGAACCGCTAAACAAACATTCCGTTTGTGATTGCAGGAGTGAGAGGGCAGCTACCATTCTATGCAGAATCCTTGTTCAAGAAGTACGGCCCAGTCGTCAGAATGGGGCCCAATAACCTTGGCTTCATCGACGGAAACGTCTGGAGGGATATCTACGGCATGCGTCGTCGCGGTCAATTTGAGAAAGCATACGAATACTACCGTGAAGGACCGGAAGGACCCATTAGCTTGCTCAACGCTGGCCCCGAGGAGCATGCGAGACTACGCAAGTGGGTTTCGCCATATTTTTCGGATCGTGGCATGAAGGATCAAGAGCCGATGATTGGCGGATACGTTGACTTGCTTCTCAAGCGACTTCATGAGAACTGTGATGATGGTATCCGCGCGCTTGATCTCCGTGACTGGTGTGAGTGCTGGGATTGCATTTGCCGAAGTTCTGTTTGATGCTAATATTAGGCTGTCAGTCAACTTTTGCATCTTCGACATCCTTGGCGAACTTGCTTTCTCCAGCTCTTTTGGATGCCTCGAGTCAGCAGAAAATCATCCCTGGGTAAAAATCATTGCATTTCAGCAAAAAGAGATTGAGTGGATCGGTGAGCTGAACCGGCAGGGATTGAGATTTATCACAGCTATCATCATGGAGTTACTCGCCAAGAACAAGTTGGAATTCATGAGTTACACGATTCAGAAGTTATAAAGTCCCATTCAGTCGGGTAAACAAGCAGATATCATTGAGTCTCTGCTCGATAACAAAGAAGGAATGGTACGTTCGCCCCTTTTCTCGCCCCTTATCTTGCCCAGGATTGGACGTGCGATCATATTGTCTCAGATATCAGAGCAGAGCGGAACTAATCAGGGAGAGCAGAAGCTTGACATGGAACGCCTTGTCCAGAATTCGACGCTTCTCATCGCGGCTGGATTAGAGACCACAGCGACGCTGCTCACGGCAACTTCGTTCCTTTTGCTATCGAATCCTGAAGCATATCAGAAAGTCGTAGAAGAGGTCAGATCTTCATTTTCTGATCCGTCAGACATCACTCTTCTATCCGTCAACAAACTCTCTTACATGTTGGCCTGCTTGGACGAGGCGCTGCGCGTGTTCCCGGTAGTTCCCTCTTGGTTACCCCGACGAGTCACGCATGGTAGCGCTATCATTGATGGAAATATCGTGCCTGAAGGTGTAAGTGTCCCCTCTACTGAACAAGACGCTACTTCATCACCAGAAAGGCTCTGACTCTCAGCATGTTGACACAGTGTCTCGTTGCTACTTGGCAATGGGCGATGTATCATAACGAACTGAACTTTACTAAACCCTTAGAATATCATCCCGAGCGTTTCCTCGGAGATCCGCGCTTCGCGAAGGATAGGCTAGATGCATTCCAACCGTTCAGCATGGGCCACGCAGACTGTGTCGGTCGTCGCAACCTCGCATACTCTGAGATGCGTCGAAAATGTATATCGTGTGGCAAAAGCCGTCTCTAAATGTGCTCAAGCCACTCCAGCGAAGAGGCAAACCTTAATCCAGCCTGAAAGCTTGTGGCAAAACATAGCCGTGCACGTAGTTGAGGTATTCCACACATTCTATATGTAATTCGTAGGCATATTGCGACCAAACACGGAAAATGGGCAGCATACAAGCTGGCGGAACCAAACTTGTCCTTCAGAGCACCTCGTCTGCTCAGATTCCGTGCAAATACATGGCTTCAATTCGAGGTCCTAGGCTTGAAACGACCCTTCGTACAGCTTTGACTGCGGGGAAGACCCTGACATTATTGGAGTACCTTCCGCTGAGACTTTCCCTAGGGCTGAAGCAGGCCTTGTTCTGGCTATTGCTCAATGATGCCGGTGGCAGACATTCTGCCAAGCATGTTTTGACCGTAGGAGACTTTACTTCTGCGACGCGACTGGTGCATTCTGTGAACTGCGTTGAGGCGAAGCCCGGAAAAAGGCCCTGTAGTGGGATGCCGCTAAGTTCATATGTTTTTTTGTTTTGGATATTATCCGCCGTCTTGCTTGCTCGCCAGAGCCCTCTATCCGATGTTGATACCTTGCAAGGTCATGTCATTTAGGTTCTGAAACCTCGCAACTGTATTCAGGCTTGCTCTTTGGCCACCTAACCTGTGCTTTGTATGCGATAGCCCATTTCGACATCGCCCAAGATCTCATCATCCTCAATGTTCGCACCATGTAATTACATCTGTTCAAAGTTCTCTGAAATATGTTATGGAGACCAAGTCTAGCTACATCGCTTAATCCTGTCGCGTGGCAGCTTCTACGCGTCTATAACTCTGACTCGTCTCAAATACTCCCATGTCAACTGAAAGTGGCCGGGCCAGAAACAATGACAGGCCTTGCCGTCAAAACTCCCCAGGATGCTAATATTAAATCTCCGCATGTTCTAACTGCCCTATCGGCCAGTGGGGCGTTTACGCGACGCTCTTGCATTGGGCCATGACAACAGACTTCAGTGGTTGAAACTATATTGACACACTACTAAGATGCCATTTTACCGACGAGACAGGTCCACGCTGATTTTCTGCCGTTTCTAGAACATTGCCGGCCCTCTATCCCTGACCGGTAGCCAGTCGTCGGTTTATCGGCGGATCAGCTTTGTCTAAAGCAATGTCTTGTTACCCAAAAAGACTGACACGAGCCGCCGCAATCTCGATTCGATTTCCTTCGATCTTAGCCGCATTCTCAACTTCGACTCATTGAACAATGGTAACCGCAACTCAGTCTTTGCCTACTGAAAACTTTCCCTTTGACTTTGATATGTCTCGGACAACTTGTCATGAAGGCGACTCTGGAGAGGTGAAAAACTCAACAACCGCAACTAAGCGGCGCCGCAGCCCACTTACTCGTGACGCCTGCAAACACTGCTGGATTAAAAAGGTGCGCTGAGTTCGTTTGTTTTTTCTGAACACATCGACTAAAGAAAGCATGGCACATAACTAACATCACTTGTGAGCCCGTAGCTAAAATGTAGCGGCGAGAAACAAGGATGCGGGCGATGCAGAGCCAACGGCTTCGACTGTCATTACGAAACCTCGAACCCTAAATACAAAGAGGCGCTTCACGATCGCCGATTTTACACCTTCAATATCCCCTTGGGAAAGTGAAGATAGTTTGACCGCCGACAATGCTATAATCACGGAGGAAGAGCAAGATCAAAATGACCTGGAAAACATTGACCGCTTGGTCTTCCAGCCAAGAGCCTTTTCTCCCTTCCAAGCCGAGACATTAGATGACATGCTATCAACGGATGCCCTTGATAATTTTGTGAAATCTAGTGGTGAGTTGACTGTACTGTCTATTATGCTTACCGTCAGCCGGTCAGTATTGAGACTGTTCGAAAGTTAACCTTGGTATTGTACAGGGAATCAGCCTTTCATGAAGGCAGCACTCAACAGCCCATCAACCTCGCCTCGAATAGATCCGCTACTTTCCTGTCTCAATGCCTCAGACTGGCCCAGAGTTGTTTCTGTAAGCTCAGATACAGAGAGGTCTATGTCCCATGTCCAAAGGCGGAGAAAGCACACACGGGAGCCATCAAGTCATAAGCAGGAGTGGCCTCGAAATAGCCAGCATTCTCGAAATGATCAATCGAAGCAACACCCAGAACGAGCTAGTCCGTCGTGTTCATGCTACGCACGAGTCTTTCTCCAGTATGAGGAAGTTAGTTCTAACATTCTCTAGAGTTTACGCAGCAAAGCTCCTGCGCCACCCGCAAAAATGCCGCAGCCCTTAAAGCGAACTATGGAGGGCCTCGACTCCTTCTTCGACTGCCACACACATTCCACGCGGCCGGAATTTGTCGTCTTGCTCGTATCCATGTGCGATATGATGCTTGGTGGTGTCGAGTATCTGGTACCCAGCCTTTGCGTAGACGATGACAACAATGATGCTTCTGGGGACGATGACTCAGACACGTCTAGTTCCCATGTTGACTCAAGGAGACGTTCTAGCAGCAGAAGCGGCAGCGTCAAGTTTACGTCGCAGCCGGCGTCCAGATTGAGCCAAGCAACATTGGACAAAGAGGCCGAGCTTCACGTGCTTCACAGTTTGGTAAGAGTTCGGACTAAGCGACTGGGACTCCTGATTGATAGACTGTATCACGCGGTGGATAAGAACGGAAGACCCATACATAGACATATTGTCTGCAGTTTGCAGGACCGACTGAGAGTAGTGTCATCATCAATAAAGAGAAGCCAGATATAGGTAGTTGTTTACCAGCAGGTTAGATGGATGAGCAGTTGGACTCCCATAATGGAACATTTGACCCATCTCCCGTATTCTAAGCACATTTGCACATGTGATTAATGACGCATGTTGAATTGAGATGTCAGACCTCAGACGCGGTCCTGCAAAATTCTATGATGCCAAAGCCTCCATATCCTCGAAAGCGCATCAAAGGTGAGGAATCATCTTGATCCAAGAAGGCATCGAGTAGACACCGATAGGGACCTGCCTAAGACTAATGAAAGCCTCAACAACTATGAAAGCCCGGGCAACAAAGTGAACGCCAGCAAACAGCGAAACTGTAATACCCAGAATGCATATCCCTGCCATACGAGAGCCTACTAATAGGGGTGATTTTCGAACTGCTTCCGAAAATAAATCAGGGTCGATGTAAACCCACATTGATCTTCCGACGTATTCAAAGAACAAGAAGTAAAGCCCAAGGTATAAACCCAATGATAATGAGACAGAATACCTTCCACATAATCTCCTCCTGTCGCGAGGCAAAGTCATAGTTCCATGCCGAAAGATGGATGCCTCCGTAAATTATAGGAAAGACACCGGTTCTGAGCAAATTGTACCAAGTGAGCTCCTCGCCAATAGCGGAAGACCTCTGTGGTTGACCCCAGTCCTTCATCGGCGTCACCCTCTGCGGTGTGTCTGAAACTATCTTGGAATATCGAAAGAGTCTCGCGTATGTTGCTCCCTAACACAAGATATTGACTGTAAGTCTTGTCCCAGAGTGGGTCAACATCAGGAGCTGCCAAGGAATTCTGTCGAATCGATTTCAGATTTAAGGCGGCTCTTTCAGTCCTCGTTATGTCAGAAGCATTGAGAAGAACGTTTCTCTCCTCCGCGAGTAGAATCTTTTCACGCCCGAAGACAAGACCTACATGGAAGTAGCCTACTCCACAGGACAAAGCTTGGCCTTCACTGATGCGAACACCATCCGTCGTCGGAACTATCCATTGAACATGAAGCTGTTCACCTTGGTGGTCGGTGGCGATCTTACATCGACTACTTCGAGAGTCTTGTTTCCCAAAGCTTCTCTTAGCCACTATGCTCGGAACTATGGGCCGGTTATCTCCTTGGTCAAGAAACAAAAATGCAGTCTCGTCTTGCAAGTGGCAGAACTGGCACTGAATCATGAAAGCAAGGGCATTCTTGACGTCCTCGCTTTCCACTGTGATAGTTTGCATGCACTCGATATCTAGGGGTTTCTAACAGATCCAGATCAGTAATCCACATAGCTTCGTAAACCTCTTTGAGAACCGGAAGTAAAACGGCAATAATCCTTTACGTAAAATCAGAATCCATAGAGCAGCTTAGCGAAAACCACGTGTACCATCACATGAATTTCGAGCAACGCTATCGGCAACCCAAGTCTCTTCTTTACAGTGCGTTGTATCGCCATCCATATTACTTGGGTTGACACGGGGAACTTCAGTAACAGGGTGGCTTTGCTTCGATCTCCAGGCTAGCCGTACCGACTTCGATGGAATAACCAAGTTTTGCTAGTTCAAGGATGCCTATTGCTGACAGCGCCAAATTTTGTGGCCAATTGTAGTCATTATCTCGTACAACTCCAGTTCCTGGCTCCGTATCGGCAATTGGAGCTTCGAAGCCTCCCATTACCGCGAAGAAGCAGGTTTTCAGGTCGTAGGATTTCTGAGAACAGGAGACAAACATTTTATTAGCTTGAATCTTTGTTCTTCCCCCGAATTCGGTTGAGGATTGCGGTGCTCACTTTGGGAGTGCTGCTGTTGTTACGGGCATTCTTTGACAGCAAGAGGTTGAGCTTGCGGCGTCTAAGCAAGACAACTGTCTGGACGCAAGCAAAAGGATGAATTCGGGTGCGAATAAGGTTAAAGCAACCCATTGCAATCTATTCCACGTCGAATAGTGCTTGATATTGAGATGAAGCACCGTATAAACGCAACTGATCAGGGTGTCCATAGAATGTCGGTGGTCCCTCGAACAGATGGGAAATCGACCCAGGGACGAGCGTGTATGGTGTTTAACGCCTCTTGGTCATTCTCATTCGCCTCGATTTGACTCTGGATATCGGCACTGGTCTGAGTCTGCAAGCACCGCGCGACGTCAATGACGACCAGAAGTATTACCAAGTGAGACCTCGAAGCAGCCATGACAAGAGAAAAATGGAGAATCAACGATGCCAAGAAAGTCATGGATGCTCGCTTTTCGACTGGATTGCAGCCTTTTCAAAACCATTCTCGTCTTCCTGTCGCAGCCTGATCACAATGGCTACGCTGCAAGGATGAGCGAAGAATGCATGCTGCATCATGTCTCGTTCACTGCAAGGCTCTGAGTGAAGGTTTCTTTTCGTGTCCGTACATCCAATTCCGTTGCTTATCTTACCGAGCTGACTTTCCTGTTGATCAGAATCGAGTCGGTAGCTAATTTCTCCTGACAATTTGCAGGAGCCAGGGATATAATTGGCCAGTTGTGACCTCTGAATTAAGCCACGGTATTCGAGGAGGTAGGTAGGGGCTCAAAATTCAAGTTGTCATTGGCGCTTCTTCGAGGTGGTATTACAACCAGAACCGTAGATATAAATTTGCCGTTGGTGCAATTTGCAAATCGTATAGCAATTACTGTGTGTATGGTATCACTTTCTATGCCGGAGAAACCAAAACCGACTTTCAGGAAAATAGTACCGACGGGTCATGTTGCAATATTGAGCAAGTACTGCGACGATAGAATGGCCACTTTTGAGCGAGATCAACTTGAAAGATGAACCAATGAAAAAAGGTAGCAGAGTTCTGAAAGAGCCAACTTCGCAGCACTGTAGGTTCATGGTCCTACCTTAGTAGGATGCACATGCAAGCTTTGGCACTGGCCTCAACTTGGTTGTCTCGTTCACTTTCTGAAGTTGGCGTCTAGGGATTTTCTCCGTGACAGGGACGTTGCGCATGGTTGCTCCACACTCGGCTTCAAGGAGTTGAGCGTCGGTGAATTAGAATCCGTCCCACTGTGTCAATACGTCTTCCAGATTGCGTGTGCAGAGCAAATCAGAGACCGAGGAACATGCTCATGATTGACCGCCAAGCAAGGTCGCCTATAGGCTCTACGCCATTCAATCAAGGATACCTCATGAGCTGTTGCGGTCATTTCAAGCTGAGTGAACGGAAAGCTTCTGTTCGCAACCTTTACGGAAAGAAGGATTCTCTTGTTCCCGCCCCGTGGATCCTGGGCGAACCTACCCCTGTGTGCTCACGGCTCAACCCATACCGGGTGATCTTTCGCGTCCAAAATTGTGGCCCGGACCGTTGAAACTTTACTGCCTAGCACGGAGATGGATCCTTCGAGTTCAGTCTGCTCAATGGTGAGGCCACCAACCTTACAATCTTAATCTAGCTCGAGCGTCGCTCAGCTTTCCTCAATTCTTTAATGTATAGATACAGGAGCATTGGAGATGTAACCTCTAAAGCAGTCAGACTCTTTTACGGTTGTCTGCAGCCTTCTTAATGAAGTTTTGGTACGCAAAGTCGTCAGCCATCAAATCTTCAAGGTCAATGCACTACGGGTCCAGAAGTTCCCCGCAGGAGTACCGGCATGCATGGGGGAAACATTTAAAAGGGGAATGATTGACGCATTGGCGAAAGGCCCAATGACGAGTCGGGTAAACAAATAGGCTTCGGCAATAATTAGTAGTGCAATTAGCTTGACTCATACGAAAAGTAACTGCATATAAAGCGTCAGCGACGCCGGTAGCGGGGTCGAAAGTAAAAATATAGCTCGATGGTAGCGTCTGCCAGATCTCGAATTGGTTGCATTCGTGGTCTATCATACTCCTCAAGATGCGTCACCTTACGATCCGGCTCCTGGCCCTTTGCGGCTTGGCGACTGTCGCAAGTTGCGAAGACCGACGATACTCGACGTGGATGCTGGACAGCATCAAGCGCGGAAGCAGGGCATCATCTCGTCTGGTGAATCAAGCAGTTTCCTGGAAACGGGCATTCTCTCCATCGCCATGGAGGCTGCACTAAAGCAATACCCGGAGCTCAAGGACCAATACGTGCCTTACTTAGAGGAAGTTCTCAACGAGGGCACTCCCAGTTTGGTCAATGCAACTTACGTCGCAACCCGACCTCTAGACCGCTTCTCGGTTGCAAACGCCATCAACGCTATTTCCAAGTCGGGAATCGCGACGATTTCGGACACGGCATCAGCAGCATCGAAAGCCATCAACGAATCTCTGTCGCTTCAAATTCGCAATCCTGTTGGAGGCTTCTGGTACTACGTCTACCCTCAATGGAGTTACCTGGATGGCATGTTCTCTGTCCTGCCATTCATGGCCGCGCAGCCCCAGCCCAACTACACCGACATCAGCTTGCAGGTTTCGCTGCTTTACGAGCACTGCTTCCAGAAAAACACCTCCTTGGTCGCCCACGGGTACGACTATTCAAAGACTTCCGTCTGGGCAAACAAAGAGACGGGTGCGAGCCCGTATGTATGGGGCCGCGCCGTAGGCTGGTTCGTAGCAGGTTTGGTTCAGACGTGGGAAGCTCTCGACTGTCCCGCTGGAAAGCACGAGGCCAAGGCTGTGTGCAAGCAACTGCAATACATGACGACGCAATTGGCTACGTCTCTCATCCGCTACGCCGACCCCGAGACCGGCGTCTGGTGGCAATTGACGACGTTCCCGGGACGCAGCGGCAACTACCTGGAGAGCTCTAGCACGGCCTTGTTTATGTTCTCTATGCTCAAGGGCGAGAGGCTTGGACTTCTGTCGAACTCGAAGGTTGACTTCAAGAAGGCAGCTTTGAAGGCCTAGGATTATACCACCCGAAACTTTGTTGTCGATACTGGTAATGGTACAATCGGGTACAACAAGACAGTCGCTGTGTGCAGTCTCAACTCTACGGCATCCTACGAATATTATACTCACCAACCGCTCTTGCCGAACAGTCTTCTCGGAGAGTCAGCCTTCATCTTGGCTTCTCTCGAGGTAGAAAGGAAGTAGCGAGCGAAGGCCCTGTTGCAACACTGCTAGATAATGTAATCATGTTCTGCACCTTTCTCTTAATGAAGCCATTTCGCAGAATCATCGAGCATGCGTGATTCCCAAGGTCTCTAAATCCAGATTCGAGTTTCTTCGGTGCCTATTCGTTGGATTCACGAGAGACCAGCCGATATGTTCACATTGCAACCAGATCCAATGGCATGTCGGGTTTCAGTGACCTGCCGATTAAAACATGGGGTAACAATTCATCTGCCTGGCTTACGAAGACCGTTTTGAGGATAGTGCTTAGCGTACATGTAAGTATTGACTCAAGCTATCCCACGTCAGCCTGGGTAAACGCAATCTGGCTGATAGTAGTGTAGCTTGCTAACCCAATCTCTACAGCGGCACTTGGAAAGTCAAGTACAGATAGCTACAGGTTTCTGCAATCGTCTTACCCACGCTGCAACGCTTATGTACCTATATGTCCGAAATCCGATATGCCTCGTCAGGTCGCTGGTGAGACTGATAATTTGGACCGGCGAGGTTGACTCCAGCTACCATTATTATCGAGAGTATGGCCACCTCCGCACCTTACTTGGTAGGCGTAGGAAGGGAATCAACTTTGACGCGCCTGACTCCGACATGTTCCGCAAAAGCCCATCGCTCTTATTTTCAATACTACATTTTCCACATTAATCTCTATCATTGCTGACACCAAGATTCCAGGTACAGGCTCCGCGCATAAGTCGCGCAAGTTAGGAGATCACACCAAGGTAAGATCGAGATAGTTGGCAGGATTCCCGACCCCCCGGGTTTCGGGTCATCCATTGTACCTGCCCTGTACAGATGGATGGAAGTTCATCCGCATTGATGAGAATTAGACACATACAAATAGGCCAGCCACCTTTCTCAATAATCAGATTTCTGAGGGTCTCATCAAGCCATTAATACTACCTTACGCCAATTATTTTTGCACTTTAAGAGCCCCTCCATGAAAACTTCCAGGATAGCCTGCCTATGGCTTTTCATAGTCGTTCTAGTCTGTGCGAATGCCCTGCGAGTAGAAAAGAGTCAAGAATTTCCGCTGGGATCTGAGATCGAAAACCTCGCTGTCAGGCCATCAGGTTCAGTTCTAGCAGTCGTCTACACATTCCCTCGGGTCTACGAAGTGGCGCCTGTCGCAAATGCCGAACCAAAGCTGTTGCACACTTTCCAGAATACCAATGGCGTTTCCAGCATTGCAAAATCACCAAACTTGGATGAATATATCCTCATTACCGGCAACTTCTCTTTCCAGACGTTGAGTCCAACGCCTGGCTCGTACGCGATCCACAAATTGTCATTTGACAAATGTGACAAGCCGGTCGTCAAGCAACTGGCATCGCTGGATGCTATTTCTCAGCCCAATGGGATGATTGCAGTTCCCGGAACGCCCTACGTCCTGATCGCAGACACGCGCGAGGGATTGATCTACCGTTTCGATACCAAAACCTTCCAATTGGGCGTCTACTACGATGATCCCTTGCTAAAGCCTGGCACGACGACCGGCGTGGTATTCGGCGTTAACGGCATCAAACTCTCAAGAGGATACCTCTATTTCAGCAACACCAACCAACAGTTGGTCGCCCGCGTCCAAGCTTCCGGGAAGGAAGATGTACTCCACGGAACCCCGGAAATCGTGGCAACCCAGACTCCGATTGATGATTTGATTGTCAACAGGTACAATGGCGACGTCTATCTCGCCGAACTTGGCGGAAACGCTCTTGGCTTTGTACCACACGGGGCAAACACCACCGTTCCGGAAACTCTTCTCGGCGGCATCAATAGCACAGCTCTTTTGACGCCTACATCAGTTGTTTGGGCAAAGGGTGCGGAAGGCCGAACTCTCATCGTCTCGGAGACTGGCGGTTTTGAGCAGTTTGTAACACGTAATTACACAGGTGGTGGCAGGATCAACATTATTCACCTGGAGTAATGCCCTCATGTATCGTAGCTCAAGATAATTTAGGGAAGTCGCAACATCCCTTATAAACTACCATCGGCAAATCTTCGCAAGGAAGGACTAGGACAGTCTGGATCCTAATGCTTTGGATTGATGCGGCGTGGATGTCAATGTTATTTTCTTTTCCCTTTCTCCAAGGTTTTACAAGTGGCACCCTCACATGAGTTTGGTCAATACGCACTATGATTATTCGCACTCGAGATCATGAATACTACACTCATCGATTGTGGCGGCCCCCGCGATTTCTAATTGATTGGTGCCAAGCATCGAGTTGTGCACTTCTCAATGTCCGCCCTCGCCTGCATCCCCCGAGTGCCGGTGGGAGAGTTCAGGAGTACACAGAAAGCTGTAGATGATGCTGCCGAGAAACATGTGACGCTTGTTCCGTTAGTATGATGCACCCGTATGAATAGACGATATTGCAACTTCCAGTCTCATTGTCTTGTGAAAGCACAATACCGCTTATTTCCGCGCGACAGTCTTGACTACTCGCTTGAGGCATAGTAACCTCATTCATCATTGCAAGTGATGGGTCCCACATCATTGACGGTTTCCGTGTACGACTCCAAAGTGGGCGACGGAGTTTCGGACGTCGAAACGTTGTCCCAAAAACTTGGGAGTCTGAAAACCGGTGATAGTCGCAAAGCTTAATCTTTCGAAAAATACAGTTTAGCCCATACAAATTGATCGAGTTCTTGGCAATCCTGTTGAAGATGAGTTTTGATTTATATCCAAGAGTAAGAAAGTGGCTGTTCAAGACGAGCCGGTGGGATGAAGCCTTGGTGCAGCATCCGGCTTTTGTACCATTGGCTTGCATCAGTCAAAGCTTCAGTTCGTCTCTTATTCCCCCTTGAGATCGAAAGTGCCAAGAGCATCCTTTCTCAAACCTTATCCGCAACCCCTGCCAAGAAATCAATCTACACGCCGGCAAACGTCTTGTTCTAACTCTACACGTGGGCTAGCGCGAATTTCCTCTTCCATGATAAAAGCGATTTAACCACAAGCCAGTTAGATTAATAGGTGGAATTTCCGCAGCATCATCCAGGGATATCCCAACCCCGCACGGAAAACGACGTGGTGCGCAGGTCGGTGGTGGACAAGGGTCGCATTTCCGACCATGGCTTCGGACGACCTTTAAAAGACACTAAATCGCCAAAGGTGTGGAAGATGTCAGTCTAGGTCTATGTCGGTCTTCATCGCTAATTGACTTATCCGCAATGTTGGGTTTCGACAAGCTCTCTGCCGCCTGGCTCATGGCCATGATGTCTGTCAAGCCAGTGACATCGACTCTCCTTTACGCCGCTTCGCACGCCGGAACTGTCACCACTCTCGACCTCCAAACTTCGGAATCCGGAACGATCTTGAAGGCCATTGCCACGAACACTGATTGCGCGGCGAACCCCTCTTGGCTCACTCTTGATCAGTCAAAGTCCCTGCTCTACTGTGCGGATCGAGGTCTCACCAACCCCAATGGCACGCTCGTTTCTTTCCAAAAGTCTGAGAATGGGACCCTCGAGCTGCTTGGGAAGCTCCCTACCATCAAGGGAGCTGTGAGCTCCGTTGTCTATGGCAAGAATGGTGGAGGTATTGCCTTGGCTTCGTAGTAAGTCCCACTCCCTGGCCCCGGAGAGATTTCCACTTTCGTCACCGAAGAAGCTTGTTCTGGGGCGAATCTGAAGAAATTGCTGCCTGAGTTGATGCGGAACTCCGCTGACAAGATTACTAGCCCGGCATCATCCTTTGAAGTGTTTTTCGTGGAGGACCCAAACGACATCAAAAGACTTCAGTCTTGGACGTACACGCTGAGCCAGCCAGGACCGAAGCCGGCACAGAATGCCCCGCACCCCCACGAGGCCATCCTTGACCCCACGGGGCAGTACGTGCTAGTGCCGGATTTGGGAGCGGATTTGGTTCGGGTTTTTGCAATCAACCAGGAATCCTACCAACTGACGCCCCTCACCCCACTGAACGTTGCGGTTGGCAGTGGTCCCAGACACGCCAGATTCCTCGTCACCAAGGAAAAGACCTACTTCTTTGTTCTGGCCGAGCTTGGAAACATTGTCACCACGTACGAAGTTCACTATGGTCGCAACAAGACCTTGAGCTTTACCGAAGTCTTCAGCGTCGGTACCCACGGCCCCGACAACACGGTGCCTGTTGGGGCTGCTGCAGCTGAGATCCACATCTCGGTAAGTACCTTCGTCAAACTGATTCCTCGACGGGATGATCTGCCATGAGACGTGTTGTGTTGCTAACAGGACGTCAGCCTGACTCTGAGTATCTCATTGTCTCTTCACGAAATGTCAGCACCTTCAGCATTCCCAACTTTGACACCACCAACAGCACTGAGATCAAGAGTGATGCTCTTGTAACATTCAAGATCGACCACAAGACCGGTCACCTTGGTTTCACTCAGATCTTCCCGTCAGGTGGCATGATTCCCCGCCAGTTCTCGATCAACAAGGCTGGTACTCAAGTTGCTGTGGGTTTACAGCAGGACGGCCGGGCGGTTATCATTGATCGCGAAGTGAGCACTGGTCTTCTGAAGGGGTTCGCCGCGAACATCTCTATCGCGGGCGAAGTTGTTTGTGTCATCTTTGATGAGTGATCTTGCAATTACTTGGTAAATAGAACCATCATATCGAGAATTCCCAGTCACGGAGAGAGACAAGCTCCTATAGTGGCCACTTTCCCTCCATTTGCATCCTTTCTCTTTCCTGTTTCCAATGTCCCGCATCAAATTTCCAGACGCAAACCTCCTGCTTCTCGTCATAACTTGCTTTGTGTCGTCCCTCGAACTTGGCAAGACCTGCCGCTCGCATAAGAGCTCGCCATGGTTTATTATCGTCGCCTGTCTCTGCTCTGAAAACTTCGCATCCAAGCTCATTTTGGGCGTACTCGATGAGGACGATGATCAACTCCAGGCCATAGCCCTTGCGCCAGTGTTTGTGATCGATTATGATGCCGATGTCCGTCATGTACGTTTTGCTCCCCTGAAGTGTCGTTTGGTCAAGGAACTCGGTCGGGTCGACAGATTCAAAAGTGTTGTACCCTCCGTATCCAATCAGCTCATTTGTACCGCGCAGTTCAACGACCAAAAATGCATTTTTCCCCTCCGCTGACATTTTGGCAAATTTTTGAATCCGAGCCCGAAGCTTTACGACCGTAAGATCCTTTTCAGGTTCCTCAAATGGGAAATTTTCTGGGGTTGTCATGATGGCGTGGAAAGATTCAATGTCGGATTCTGTGGTAGTCCTCACCACCAGTCGCGGAGACACAATCTCGTACGAAGCCCGGCAAAATTGAGACGAGGCCATCTTGGCGGATAGGCGGTGATTTGATGACGTTTTGCGTTTGAAGTTATACCTTTGCTGAACAAGTTACGGGCTAACCGTTCTACGATAAGAGCTCCGCGGAAGACCTCAACTCAAATAAGCAAATTTTCTACATAAGTTGACTTTTTTCTGGTATTCCTGTTTGCGTCTGAGGATCCGCTACGCCGCGTGTCATGTTGGTTCTAATCGGCCGAAGGATGAGAGCTTGTTGACCTTCCCGATCTGGATACAGCTCTTGACGCGCCCAGGACCAACAACTGGGCAGGTTTTTGATTGTCAGTGAGTCACACTAGATGTGAGTCACGAATGAAGGACAGGAAGGCATTCGAATAAAACCAAAATAACTTCCAGGCTGTCTTTCTCGGCATTCAATAATCACAGACTAAACAATCGTCAGGAATTTTCACCTTTTTGTATCTGTAGCACTGAAGATGTGTCAAATGGGAGTATTGTCAAGCATCTCAGTTCAGCATGACCTTCTTGAAGTTGGTCCCAATAGTGAAATGCCTCATAGTATGACTGCACCTAGATGCTTGAAGTACGAATCGTTCTCTGGGTGTCGATGGGGCGGGACAAGGCGAAACCCGGAAGTCGAAGACGGAATCCGGGCCAGGGGTACTCGTCAATAGCCCCAAACTCCGCATCTCTTCTCAATCAACTCCAAGTCCGGGGAAACGGCAAGCTTATATGCTGGAGATGTAGCTTAAACAGCTCACCAAACGTGCTTGATTGCAACCTCGGCGTTTCGTCCCAGCTTCAGCAGAGTGGTTGCCCCCGATGACCCCCTGCAAATGGTTCTCGGATGGACGCACGACCGATGCAACCCGCAAAGCCAAGCGCGCACGATCGACAGGCAACATCAATACCCGGAAACACGAAAAGGGGAGGTGAGACAGGACCTCGTGGCTATGTCGTCGGCCGCTGTCAATGTCCTGCGCTTTTCCTTCGCCTTTCCATGATCTTTCCTCTTTGAAGCTGTCCGAGAGTGAGTGGACAGCGAAAACAGCGGGCAGCTGTGCGAGTCAGCGAAGGGTGGTTCTGCCCGTTCTTAATGAATTGGTGGGGTTCCTTGGACCGCTTGACCGCAAATCAACGCCCGAATGAATGGATGCTATTCGACATTCAAAGCACCTTGCACGTTGCGAGTCGTGATGGCGGGACTCGCTCGAGGAGGATCGCCCTGTCAGAGATTGGACGATCAATGTCCTGCCCTGCCTGTGCTCCCAGCTCATAAAGATAGTTGGGAAACTCCTTTCTCTGCCGTCTCTCTTCCATCTGGCGTTCGGCATTCACGCAAGCCGAAAATACCGCTAAGCTACACTATGTCGTCATGGATCAAGTCTCATCAGTACGCGCGAGTTGACCAAGCCATTGATAATGGCGAGAATGTCCAACACAGAGAATCGCGGCTGAGGGAGTACTGGCAAAAGGTCAGAGTCCACCTTTTTTACGCGATACTCCTCGTCTTAGTGGCGGGGCTCAGCAGACATACCGCGCCTAGCAAAGCTACACCAGATTATTACGGCGTTGAGCCCGTTAAGTCTGAGATGCGATGTAAGATATCACCCGGCGTCCACATGCACGTTGCTTTCTCACAACTGTAATCCCGCACAGTATCCACTATAAGCAGGACTTTTGAGTTGGATCTCAATTATGCCATGCCACCATCCGCACAAGTCGATGAAGCTTGGGCCTCGCTTCTTCCTAAGGAGGGCGGCTTCTTTCAACACTCCAAGCTTGCGCCGCAAAAGAGCTGTATAGCGGTATTCCACCAGCTTCACTGTCTCGACATGATCCGGCAAGCACTGTATGAGGCGCGGCCTGACATCATGGAACAAGTCAATAATAGGTCGCACCCTGCAGACCACAAGGCAGACCATAAGGCAGACCACAACGCTTCTCCCGATCACAATCACGTCAAAGATATGTATCATATAGGACACTGTTTGGATCTCGTCCGCCAGTCGATTCTTTGCAGACCTGACCTGACTGTGGAGATTGGCGACCCTGCGGTGGGCGGTGTAACGGGATTCGGTACTGAGCATCAGTGCGTGAACTGGCAGGAATTGATGGACTGGATGGAGGATCATGAATAAGGCACGGGATGCATAAAACGACGACATGCGCTAGCCACGACCAACTAAGACAGAATCAAATTTAATATGAGCCTTTATCGTGAGCTGTGCTCGGTCCAGCGGAAAGCAAGTGAGCGTGCAATTTCCAAACCGAGAACCGCGCCACAACATGGAACAAACAGATCCGGGATAACTGGACTTGCGAAATAATAGATGTTGGTAAAAAATAATCTGCCGCCATACAGCAAGAACGTATGAACTCTTCTACGGAGCTCATCATGAACAATAAAAACTGCGAAAGGAATGGAAAAGGTTACCAATTTGATAATCAAATTTTGGAAGAAAAGCCAGCAAAATAAGACCATTACCGATGCACATGACAACGTTCAGGCTGGAAATAAACTCGCTCTCTAGGGCAAGAATGGCAGCTGTGGTTTCACATGCTCACTTATCGAAATCAAATCCCCAATGCACATTCCTGATTGAGCCATAGCGCTGCTTAGCAAGCTTTACAGCAACATGAACTTCAGTTTCCCCGAAATTACGGGCCGCCGGAAACTGGCAGTGGCACGTCTGCAGACTGCAACCCCCAAAGTACGTCACTCCACACATAGGTAAGTAGCCAAGAATGTCGAAGCAATGGTCGAAGCCAAACTGCCGCAATCGATTGCGTCGGACAGTTGAAGAACAGGTAGGCTGCATCCGATCGTTCTTGGCAAGCGGGATGGAATGTTCGTCCCATGTTCATCAAGCTTAAATCATCTTCAGTCGACGTCGTTCGTCCAAGCACAATGGGCGGTCGAGTCAGTTTCGGATCTCAGAGGGTGTCCCTAGATCGCCCCCAATGGATCGCCCAACGGAAAGTTCGACTCGGCTCGTATAGGGGATTAGAGTTTTATTAATCATGCCCGTCCTTGGTCTCTCGAAAATCGTACTTTCGCCGGACGATCCGGATGTTAGGCTATTTGGAGTTTCCGTTTGTCTTGCGATTGAGCTACTAGAGTGGTTCCACGGGACAACCTACCGATGAGTTTGATTGAGGAGGGTCTCCTAGTCCAATTCCTCTTGGAAAGCTTAGCATTCAAGGGCATATCGACGATAGATTACGGTTAATTGCATTTGAGTTTCAGCGAGAAGAGTCGCCTATGATTCTTCCATGCGTGCCGTGCCAGCAATCGGCCCCTTATCTAACATGGTAAGACAGTCATCGGCTCTGATTACGAAAAGCTTAGCTTGCGGAAACCAAATGTTACCTAGTAGCTAAGCTTTCTGCTGTGCATTGGGCAAACTGAAATATATGATTTGAGGAACCTTTGGTAGCCGATGTTGCAGTCCTCTCGGCAGCTCATCGACCAAAGCCATTGGTCCGTATCGATGCGAGTTTGAAATGTTTATCAAGATGGGATCCTCCCTCAATTGAAAGATGTTCTGGCCAACATCATTCAAACCACCAACTCCGTGTCACCATGGTTTCTTCGATGTCCATTCGTCACCTGTTGCTGGCATTGTTGCCTTGCACCACCGTCTTGGCCGATTCTTGGCGAGTCGACGGCTTCAACCCGGTCAAGAAACTTGCAGAAGCCAAGCGGTTGCCCGTACGCCGCCATCTTGAGCGTCGTCAAAACACCGAGAAGTACCAGTACCTCAATGACAAGACTGAGAGTATGCCCATCCAACTTCGACTTCCTCCACTTCGTAGGCTGATATCATCAAGAGTACCTTGTGAATGGCACGTCTATTCCACTGGTTGACTGGGATCTGGGCGAATCATATGCTGGCCAAATCCCGATCTCGAAAGCATCGAACGAGACTCGTCAACTCTTCTTCTGGTACGTATATACACCTGTCTAAGCCGCCGTCTATCTTGCAATGTTGATACTCATTCCAACAGGTACTTCCCGAGTACCAATCCAGATGCATCTGAGGAGGTCACCATTTGGTAAGTTTTCTCGAACCCCCAAAGACACTTTCCTCGGACCTAGTCGCATTCTGACTCCTCTGCAAGGTTGAATGGAGGCCCGGGATGCAGTTCTTTCATCGGACTGGTCCAGGAGAACGGGCCTTTCACCTGGTTCCCTTCGGCTTACCGCCCGGTTTACAACATTTTCAGCTGGTCTCAACTCTCAAATGTGCTCTACGTCGATCAGCCCGCTGGCACTGGCTTCTCAGTCGGTAAGCCCGGAGTCAACACAGAAGAGGAGACCGCCCAGCAGTTCCTTGGCTTCTACCACAACTGGATGGAGACCTTCGGAACCAAGGGCCGCAAGACTCATCTTACCGGCGAGAGCTACGCAGGCCACTACATCCCCTACATTGGTGACGCCATGATCAAGTCCAACCAGTCTGCCGACTACAACCTCTCTGGTGCCCTAATGTTCAGTCCGTATATCAGATCTGATCCTGGTGACTTCCAACAGCATGCGGTCTCCCTGCCCTTCGTCGAGGAGTACAACAACGTTATGGGTCTGTATCCCGGTGTAGGGGACTATTATGATCGGATTAGTGCCGCCGACAAAGAGTGCGGCTACGCCGATATGCGCGAGAACTACTTCACCTTCCCTCCCAAGGGTCCCTTCCCGCCCGGGAACAGCAGCGATGCCTGCGCAATCTCGTCCATTGTCTACGAAGGTCTTGCGGAGGTTAGCCCTTGCGCCAATATCTACCACATTTCTCAGGGCTGCCCCAACCCATCGGATCCCCTCAGCTGGGCCGCCGAGGGAGACAACGCCTCTGTACCCCTCAGCTTTGACAAGGCGGATTGGCACTCCTACCTCAACCTTCCCGAGATGCGCAAGGCCATCCACATTCCCACCGGACAGAGAGACTGGAAGAAGTGCTCCGATGAAAACCCGTTCGGTCCCACTGGCGATGTCAGTCTTGACCCCTTCGCTTCCGGCGCTCTGACTCGCGTCATTGAGCACACAAACAACTTCATCATTGCCAGTGGCAACCTTGACTTCCGCGTACCCACCAACGGTACTCTCATGGTGCTTCAAAACATGACTTGGAATGGACAGCAAGGCTTCGACGAGTTCCCATCCAAGACTTTCTTCCTACCTACAGCCTACAGCGATCTGTCTTCTCAGAGTTCCGCTGGAAAGATTGGTGATTGGGTTGCACAGCGTGGCCTCACTTTCGCGCGTGTGTTCAATGCCGGGCACGGTAAGATACAACCAAAGCAAACTAGACAATGCTCTCTGAATTTGTACTGATCTTCGATCTCCCAGAACTCCCCCAATACGCTCAAGGAGCCGGTTACCGTCTCCTGGAACAGCTTCTCGGCCGTGTTACGGACCTGACCAGCGACCTAATGTTTACTGCCCTTCCAGGGGACTTCACAGGGTCAAACACAACACATGGGTCTACTTCCAATTAGGTGGAAGAATACAAGTCCGTCTACGCAGCTTTTGGACATAATGCTGCCTACATTAGAAGCCAAACATAGTCGTAGTGTATTTGATTGGGTCACATGAATGAATTCAATGTTGATGAAGCTCAATATACTAAACACCACCCCCGGAGACAGACGTTTCTACGTAATGATTTCCGTGTTCTGAATCTTCAGGGCTAGTTGATGGGACCGCTGGTAACACGACAAGATTTGAACAATGCACTGTCCTCGGCTACAAAGTATCGTGTTCGTTGTGGCTATCTCTCAATCGCCGGTGTTACCGTATTTCAGAGAGAAGTACATGCAGCTAGCCTATTACCTCTGCAATGTGGTGTCCAGGCTCAGTTGTTCGATGACAGAGTCTCTGCCATTGTCCATCGCTACTTCCAAAGCATTCTCATAACTTGCGTAGTGACAACTTTTGTCAGCACCGTGGTCATGAATCAGCATTACAATAGCTTGACGATCCTGCATGATGGCCTCGTATAGGGGAGGTCCGATTCTTCTCCAGTTTATCCCAACGTAAAGCAATATTTCTGAATCTGTTTCCTGTGATTTCGAATCAAAAAAAAGTAGCCTCACGGAGGAAATAGCGATCCTTAGTCGATAAGTCGGTTCGGCGCCAGCCTCCTCGATGTCCCCGTGCATCTGGGTCAGCTTTTTTTTTAAGCAGTCCCCGGATTATTTCTTGATATCCATGCGAAACTGCCAATTTTAAGGCTGATCCATAGTCCCCCTTTGCGTTCACGTTTGTTGTCGCTTTGAGAAGTAAGTTGGCAATATCCACATGCTGCAAAGTCAAAGCAGCCTGCAGTGCAGTCCCATACTTTGTGCATTGAATGTCTGCATCTGCGACGTTTTTTAGTAGTAAATTCGCAGTTTTAGACCTACCATGAGATGCTGCCATGTGAAGTGTGGTCCGACCATCCTCTGCTCGATAGTTCGAGTTGACCCCGTGGTCCACAAGAAAACTGACGATGTCAAAGTAACTCTTATCAACAGCTCGAATAAGGATATCACCAAATTCAGGACCGTTGAAGTTCTTGACAGAGCCTTTATCGAACAAGAGTTTGGCAACGTCCAAGTGGCCATGTCTCAATGCTGAATGAAGTGCCGTTCCAAGCGTCGGATGTACGAATCCTATATCAGCTTCGTTATCAAGGAGGAATTTTGCGCCATGCAATCGCCCATGTCTTGCTACAACTTGAAGCGGTGTTCCTTCGTCGCATGCATACAATTGACCTCAGCACCCTTCGTGAGGAGCAGTTCTGCAACGTCGTAATGGCAATTAGAGATTGCTGACTGAAACGCCGTCCCATGCAAACAGCCATAACGGCTGACATCAGCACCGTTCTCGAGAAGTAAATTGACAATTTCCAATGCTCCACGGCATGACGCTGCCATCAATTCCGTTTCGCTTTCTGTCTTATTGGGATTATGAAGGTTGATATCAGCCCCGTTCTGGAGGAGACACCTGACTGTTTCGAGGTGGCCACTCCACGATGCTTGGATCAGTGCTGTGGAATCTTCACACCAAGCATTGACATCAGCACCATACTCCAGTAGCAGGCCTGCAATGTCTCCTTGTCCTCCTCTGAAGCATGCCTCTTTCAGAGCCAATTGGTAACGAAAGTCCCAGGCACAACGATCATAGGATGACCGCTCCACCTCAAGCTGCATGTTCTTGCCTGCAGCCTGCGTCCTGTAGTCACAACTCGGTGGCGTAAGGAATCCAGGGTCATGTCGGCGGGTACTTCTTCTGTTGTATCAAGTTGGCTATAATGTTACGCTGAATGCGTCTCTGTTCTCGCATATTACCCAAGCGTGATCTGCACATCCTTTGAGGCAACCTGTGCCCACGCAGTCTCCCAGACTCGCCCCAATGCCTTGCGGTATGCTACATCATCCCTCCACTCAACCCACAGGACGTTGACAAACTCATGCGTCCCCCTGTGCCGCGCGCACTCAGCTTCCCCCCACCCGTCAAAGCCATTGTCTTCTCCTGGTTGGTTTTCTGCGGATCCCGCCGAGATCTCGACAAGTTCGCACGTCTCGCCGACTGCTGATCCGTAATACTCGTCAGGATCTGAGGAGGCAGCATTAAGTCTCAGCACGCCAGCCCAGCGGCCATTCGAGTCACACAAAGTCGCGCATACGCACTGCGAAGAGCGGTGGTCATGGAACATTTTGCTTATTTGGAGGAATCCCCGTCTTGTGAGACCATGCAGGTAAGCGGGCTGGCATGAGGTGGGACTGCCATTGATGCTGGCCATTGTGGCTAGAGGGATAGGAAACCAGAACTGATGTGTTCCCGCCTGCGGGTGGGTGAAGTATGATTTCTGGGCTCGTTCGCAATACTTCTCACACCAGCCTTCTGATGTCGGATCATCTGAGAACTCGGCGGTTTCATTCCCTACTGGACTTCGTTCCCCATTCACAGTCAACGAGCAGGACCACACGACCGTCCGCCGAGTCTGCCAAGAATCAGGCCGCCAAAAGTGATCCGAACCGCCGGAATTTCCGCCACGCAGATATCGATAACCACTGCGCCAGCTCTCGGACTGGAGATTACCCTGCCACCCCATCCACGACCAACTCGGTAGACCAGAGGGAAGATCACTGGTACGACGGACCAAGGGCTCGTAAGGCTGCCATAGCAGCGCGGCGTCGAAGAAGATGCGAGGCAGGCCGCAGATGAAACCGCGGGGGAACGATTGGCCAAATGCTGATAGAACTCCGGCGAAAGCATCGTGGACGTCGTGATCGTATCTCAGGACCCGCTTGTTATACAGCGCAACGAGCCTGGCATATCGGTGGAAGTCAGGCCACGGAGAGACACCAGGTAGAAATTGACTTGATAATGGGGCAGAGACGCTGTTGTCGTTCCCGTTCTCGATGCTGTCGTCCTTGCTGTGCTGCTCATCCTCCTCAACGCCACTACAAGGCCCCGTCACTATGTTTCTTTGATTCTCATGCCACGACGCGCAATGACACTGCCAGTTGACAGTATCATTATGAAACACAAGCTGCCGTCGAGAAAACATGAGCTCTTGAAACGTCCAGCCCCTCTGACACCACGCCGTGTTGACCAGGTCCCGAGAATGCCCCTCCATAATGGCACGATGTGCATCCACCTCTTGTTGACGGCTGATATTCGGCACCTCTGTGGCGGAGAAGGTATCAGGCACGTCGGGCGGAGCATCTACGTCCTCCTGAGGAATAGCTGGTGGCTCGTTGACAGAGGATGGAGGTGAGTCCCTTTCGTTCACCACAGGCGACTCGACTTCAGTGTATGAGGGCGATGCAGGAATGAAATTAGGTGACTCGATGTCCATGGGGGAAGGTGAATCGTACGGTGATCCGCACCCTATGTAGTGAGGTGAGCCGCCGTATCCCATAGTGAAAGGCAAGTATTGCTCGTTGACTGCCATGCGGCCATCATCAGCATCAGTTTGCTGGTTTTGATCCGACTGGTATGCATAGTATAAAGGAGAGCCGTTTTTATCGCCCTCTGACGAAACTAGTCTACGGGGAGAACGCGACGGCTCCTCCCTAAACTCTCGCAGACGTTGCGTCCACTCCTTGGAGGAGACCTCCTTCAGACAAGGCAGCGCGCCTTGGCCGCTTTCAGCCTCCTCTTCCTCAGTCTCATCGACCAGCCCATGATGCAAAGGCTCATCCGCGCCGCTTCCCTGCGCAGCAACGATAGTCAAGAAGGCGCCCGCGTAAATGTCCGCCATACCCTGCAGCTGAGCAGGCTTCGCATCTTCGTCATCTTGCACAATGCAGAGCCTGTCGACCCAGAGATACCGCTCACCAAGCAGACGTGTCAGTTCCATGGCCTCCCTTATCGTAGATGGAATATCCTGGCCGTCAAGGGCTCCGGGGTTCTGCAGCGCGGCGATGTTGGCGAGCGTTGCAGTCGCACTTGAGGCTTGGCCCCAGACATAACTCAGCGCCACGTAGTGATACAGCGCAACATATGAGTTCTCCTCTTCGCGGTCATCTTTGACTGCGACTAAGCAATAGGCACGCACGTCAATCAGCCACAGCGGACGCGCAGCACCTGGCCGCGGGGGAGGAGCACAGTGGTTGCCGTGGGAGCTAGCGCAGGTGCGCAGCCAGAAGGCCATGGTAGACAGGCGCAAGGCATGTTTCCCGGCGGAAATACGTCTTTCGAGGCCGTGGGAGGTATCCGGGCGGTTGAGATACGGCAGAAATGGGATCAGATGCTTCGGTAGCTGACGGAGGCGCGATGGTAGATCATCTGGGATGCGGGGCGAAAGCGACATGTGCCGCCCGCGCCCACGCCCAGCAGATGACTCGACACGATTCATACGGATGTGTGCGCGGTTGAGAGCGCCGAGATGATGGACGAACAGTACCCGCCATCATGGCCGGTGTCAGCTTTGGCGGGGTTCAAGTCGCTGTGGAGCAGTCAGATTATGGGGCGACTGGGGGGCTCCAGCCGGCCTCGGCACCCGGCCGGGGTCGGGATTTATGGGGCATCTCGGCTAGCCCCACTCCGCGGGATGCGCGGCCCTGGAGGCGGCGAGAGGCGCGACTTTCGGACGAGCGTAGTCCAAATCAAGTAGATTCCGTCCCGTCCATCAAGCTTTCTACCCTACGATGGCGCCGAAGAATGATCGCTGGTCCGTTCGGTGTCCGAAGGCGATACCGAATCCTCCACGAATACGGCATGCGGGACGCAGTGCGGACAAATCCATGGCGAGATATGGTCTGAAAAGACCATCGTTGACTGTCAAAGTTTGGCTCAGGTTTCACTGACGTGATTGATGAAGTGGATTTACCAATAATATAGCATGTTCTTGAGATATAGTGCCGATCTTGTTCGTCCGCTTCGGTCGAAGAACTTGAATAACTCAACGCATATACGGCATATATCCAACCCGCGAAGACGGCTATATACCAACACGAATGAAGCAAGGACTTCAAACTTCTCATTGATATCAACAGCACAGTCCCTTATACCACAAATCGCCAACGTCTCGAACTCCATCAGCCTATACCCCATCAGCCCTACCTATCTCCACGGAACCGCAACAATGTTCCCCCAAACCAACAAGTACACCTCCAAACTCGCAAACAAACGCATCCTAATAATAGGAGGCTCCTCAGGCCTAGGCTACGCAGCAGCAGAAGCATCCCTCGAACACGCCGCCACCGTCATCCTAGCCTCCTCCAACCCTACCAAACTCGCCGCCGCCGAAGCCCGCCTGCGCTCAAACTACCCCTCCACCCAAGCCCACCAGCTCAAATCCCACACAATCAACCTCGCAGACCTCGAAAACCTGCACCAAAACCTCACACGCCTACTCGACGAAGCAACATCAAACGGCACCCTCAAACTAAACCACATCATCTACACCGCAGACGCAGCTTCTCCCCTTCCCTCCCTCGCGGACACGAGACCCTCGCACATCACCGCGTCCCTCTCCATGAGAGCCTACGCGCCCACGATCCTCGCTGGCCTCCTCTCTTCGGAGAAGTACATCACTCACGGACCAGATACCTCGCTAACACTCACCAACGGCTCGAGCTCCCACCGACCCATGCCGGGCTGGGCCGTCGCTGACTGCACTGCCGGTGCGATGGAAGGACTCGTCAGAGGTCTGTCCTTTAATCTAGCCCCGGTGCGCGTGAACCTCGTCTCCTCGGGGCCCGTAACGACGGAACTGTTCCTAACGCTGCCTGAGGCGGCTATCGAGGGGTTCCGAACTAAAACGCTGACGGGAAGGCTTGGGCGGCCCGAGGACGTGGCGGAGGCGTATTTGTATCTGATGAAGGATGGGAACATTACTGGCGCGACCATCTTTACTGAGGGTGGAAGAATCTTGTCATCGTAGGTGGATGGCCTTCTAGTATGGCCTGTCTCGTTCATGGCAATATCAGTGTCACCCTTTTCGCAAGAACAATCTCAAACACACAATAAAACTTTTCCTTGGCTCGCGGATCATTTGCAAGTGCCTAGTAATGTACATTTTCCTCTGTTTTCAAAACTCCAGGTTGAGAGCAAACGCTCTAATGCAATACTCAAGATGATGTTGTTTACGCTTAAGCCCTTTAGCTTCTATGATGCATGGCACATCCACCTCGCTGGTGAAAGGTAACCCCTGAGTATCAACCCCATAGACGCCTCTGAACTGCATCTACGTCCGCGTCCACTGCAGCCCGTCTCACCAAGCTTGAGAAACTCTGTACCATGCTCGAGGGGACATCGCTGTCAGTGAATTCGTCAGACGGGTTGTCACTATCAAAAGATCCCAAGGAGTCCTCCCATCCCAAGGATTCATCGCAATCATCGTATTCCTCGGGGCAATCTTCGGTGGCGTATGATTCGAGAAACGGAGTCGGCCAGGGCCGTAATTGGTCAGACTGTCTCCTGTTGTTTCCTTCGCGCTAGGGGATGCAAAAGTCGACCCAGCTACCAAGGTAGTCCAGACGGTTACCAGCGTTCTCCTGGCTCTTGTAGATTTCCTCAAACTCATCAAAGCTGAGCTTGCCCCAGCCGCCGCGATCGGCAGCTTCCTTCTCAGCTAGATCAAGCCGTTTCCATTCCAGCAACGTGAAATGCGGGATGGTTTTTGACTCCTTGGAAGACTTCGAGGTTTTTCCCTGCACGGGCGACTTCAGTCCCTTGGTCGAAAACGAAGAGTCGTCTGAAGTGGGCGGGGTGCTTCCCGGTGACATAGGCTCATCCGCCTCGCTGTTCGGACGGAACTGAGGCATAGTAGGGTCCCGGTACTCGACTTCCTCAACGGTAGAGGCATCTTCCTCGTCGTCTTCGTTCACCTCAATATCATCCTCGTCGGAGTCAATGACTTCTTCCACCCTCTGACGCTCTTCTGAAATGGGAGCGTTCTCCGTTTCGCCAGTCTCCCCAATTCTGTAGCCGCTAGTCATCAGAAGTTCTTCCAGGGTTCTTTCGGCGACGGGTTTATCCTCGTCGAGTGCCTTTCTCGGTTGCCGCGGCTCGACCACCTTGCGCTTCGGCTCAGCGACAGTCAGGTGCTCGAACAGAGGTCTGTTCTTATCTCGTTTTGCCTTGGTAGCAGCTGCCTTGACGGCCAAGTTCTCCTTGTCTTTAAATATAGCGTCGAGGAGCTCGTTGAAGGCCTGCTGCGTGACCTGGTACAGGATCTCCCTGCCTGCGTCACGTTCCTCATTGGGAATCTCCATGCCTCCCCAACGCTCGGGTACGCTCCTAGAGGATGTCGAGGGATTGGATCTGGTCTCGTAGTCATCCATATCTTCTGCGAAGCGAACCTTTGACGATGATCGAGATCGAGGAGGTAATGTCTGCTGTTGTGCCGCCTTTGAGCTTTCCGCAACACCGTTGAGGTTCACCAAGACATCTTCGTCGGATTGCCAGCCATCGGGTGCAAAGCCGCCCTCTTCCTCATCGAGGTAGAACTGCCTTCTCTTCCATCTATCGTGCAGCTGTTTTCTAGCAGCTTGCCGCCTTTTCCGCTCGATATCGGGGGCCATCTGCCTCTTATGGTTGATAACCTGAGCTCTTAGCTGGCTCTCAGTGGGCATTGCGTTGGTGAATTGATCGGGATCAACTCTCTGGTTGTGATTTGTGGTGCCGTTGACTTGTGCCGGATCGTCGCCTGGTTGACTCCTGTTCTCTGCATCCGAGTTGTTGTTACCTCCCTCGTCACCATCTGAGCTGCCCAGCTCAATCTCAAAGTCAAATTCAATGCCATTGCGTTCCCGACGTTGCCCAGTAAGCAAAGCAGGCAGATCGTCAATCGTGGTAGGCGGGTTGAGTAGAGCATCCCAGTATGGCGTGGAGGGCTCGCTGTCAGGAGATCGCATTTGGAGAGACCAGGGACTTCCGATGTAAGGAGCGAATAGTCGAGTAAGCACATCCTCTCGTCCAGACGTATCGACCCTATTATCACTGACGACACCACGTCTACCAGGTTCCAGTTCTACATCTCCGTCTGGGTGGAAGATCTTGCCCTCACTGCGATTGTTGCCATCAGCCCGAGGCACTCTACCCTCTCGGCCAAACAGGCTACTCAAGGGCTGTCTACTAGTGACGAGCTGCTGTGCTTCGGTGCTACCCATAAGCTGATCGTCGAGTCCGTCGAGAATATCGCGATGCATCTGCTTGTAGAGGACGTAGTATGCACGGAACATACGCAGGAAGTCGCGGCGGTTGACAAAACCGTCTCCGTCTATATCATAGCCTTCAAAGATCTTGCGCAGCTTGTCCTTGCGTTTGCGGTATGCAAGGCCGTGGAGAAACTCTGTGAAGCCAATGAGGTCGTCGTTGTTGGTGTCGTAAAACGAGAACATGCGGTCGTGGATGAGGTTTGGCGTTGCGTGTCTAGAGCCGCCCGATGGAACTAGGCATCGCTCAAAGGTCTTCTTGTCCATGGCCAGCGCCAGCTCGTCGGGGTCCTCGCGCCATTCTGTGTTCGCCATGTACGTGAACTGTTCCCAGAAAGCTTCAATCTCGGGTCTTTCGAAGCCGGTTTCTCTGCTAAGTCTGGCCATCAAGCCTTTAGATAGATTGCGTATCTGTGTGTCGGGGTCACCGGTGTACCAAACGGGCTGCATCTGGCGGGGTCCAAAGGGCGGAGCGGGCACTTTGATCTTGTAGAAGATGTGAGTCTTGATGTGGACGCCTTGGGATTCGCAGGTTTCGCAGAGGTCAAAGTCGGCACAGTTGGCGCAACGGTACCGAACACCGCGGATGGGCACCATGCCGCAGGCATTGCATGCGCATCCTCTATGGACGCACGCGTTTCGCCTGGCATTGTCCTCGGACACCCTAAACAGAAGACTGACGATGTTGTGACCGGCTCGCGCCTGGGGTTGCATGCTATTAGGGTCGTTCCACCATTCATCAACAGTTCCACCGTCAACTATCGTATCGGCGTCGTTGGCTGGGCGGGCATCGACATCGACATTCTCGTCGCCATGGGAGCCTTCGGAGGAGAGTGAATTGCGACGCGATCGTCTGTGGTTCCGGCGAACGGCGTTACTCCGGTGGAGACCGGGGCCTGGGATCTCATCGTACTGGTCTCTGTTGGCCTGGTAGGTGTAGTAGCCCAGAGACGCCGCGGCGACAGCAGAGAAGAGGACCACGGCGATGCGTGGCCGCGTCAGGGTGTCGGTTGATGGCAGCGGGAGCCACATGATGGTGCCTAGACGTAGCTATACGTGAAGCATGTTGAGGGTTATTGTATGCTTCGCATTCGCGTGCTCGAAGTCTTGAAGATCTAGATAGCCGAGTGTTTGGTGATGCTGCTTATGTTGGATGATGCTGGCTGATGAAAGGTGTCGTTGGTGATCATCCAGCAAACGAAACGGCTAGCAGCAGCGTGCAGGGTAAGCAGCGTCGCAGTTGCGCCAGCTCTCGATTCTGCCGCTTTGGCCCGCAAAAGTGAAGAAGGCGGTCAACCACAAGGCAAATATCCCTTGGCGCCTCCCTCAGTCAGCAAGTGGCTCGAGCTCCTCTTCCATGTGAGTGGCGGTACGTATCCCTTGGATACCACCACGGATGGCTCTCCGGAAAGTCAAAGATCCAGGTCTTCTTTAGATGGGTACGCCATTTTCAACTCCAACAGGACAATGACACTTATCAGTACAGGTGAAATGAAGGACTAGCTCTCGCACGTAGCAACTCAAAATATCCCAGCTCCGTCTGAAGTCCTTCTTCCTGGAGATCATCAACTGGAAGGAATCAACAACATGCAATGTCCTTGTCAATGTTGGAGCTCTCCCTACGGTGAATGAGAGCTCCCCGATGCCGAGGCATAGTCCAAGTGGAACCCCCATGTCGCACGATGTTCTGTTACCAGAATACTTTGAAACTCATATTTTTTGCGCATGCTACATATGTATCTCAATAACCGTCGCCTTCGATGGACAACGTCACCAGCCGCCTGTTGCGCACCTCATTGCGCTTGACACAATCCCATGATCGCATTTATTCTCTCGAGAGCCCGCATGTTCTACAATTCTGCAATTTAGACAAGCTGATCCGATTGCACAGTTTCCCCCCTCCACAAGGACGCTAGAGCTGCAAGTCGTTATTAAGAAACGCTTGCTTCTTTCGTCGCATCTTTTCCAGGGCGCAGGGGTCTTTCGAGAATCGAGCTTCCCTCTCTCACTCTTCAGCTCACACAGCTATAGCTCTCATACACAGCCCCCCCTGGAGTTCAATCCAAACTCATCTGTAACATCTTTGAACGCCACTCATCCGGGGTTTTCCAAATATTTCCAGATTTCTTCGTCCCGAACACGAAGAATATCTAGTATAACCACGTTGAATCCACGTGTTGGATCGTCCTAAGACCCACGGAGCTCTCAACTTTACATCTATAATCCCTTTGACAAACGCAGCCATGGCGACAAAGTAAGCCTTAACCACTCATCTATGTAACAGCCACGTATACTGACGATATGGCCAGAGTACCAGTCTTCCCCACGGCGGAAGAGACAATGAGACATCCTTCATATGCCTCAACGATATGGAACCTCGAACCCGATCGCAAGGGGAAATGTCCCGTCGCCAAGGATAGAGGCGGCCCCTTCAACATTGCCTGGGAAATCCACGGTCACGGCCCCTCAAAAATCATCGTACGCAACCCCTCTACCACTAGAATGATTTCCTTCCTCCCAGTGCCTTGCAACTAACACAAACACCAAAAGTTCATAATGGGCCTAGCAGGCCTCAAAACCTCATGGCAGCGCCAAACAAAATACTTCGGCCATGACAACGCCTCCAAATACTCCGTCCTTATCCTCGACAACCGCGGCATGGGCGAGTCCGACGTCCCCTACATCCGCTACTCCACCTCCGAAATGGCCCACGATGCCCTCGAAGTCCTGACCCACGTAGGCTGGACCGCCTCCCGCTCCGTCCACCTCTTTGGCATCTCCATGGGCGGCATGATCTCCCAAGAGCTTGCCTTCGCCGCCCCTAACCTCTTCGCCTCCGTCACCCTGCTCTGCACGGCCCCCTGGATCGAAAACACAAAAACCCTCCTCGAAAACATGCGCGACCGCGCCGCCATGCTCGTCCCCAAATCCGCGGACCGTAGTATCGCAGATACCTCGCTCAAGCTGTTCCCCGCCGACTGGCTCGTCATGCCCGACGAGGCGGCCGAGCTGCCTAATGATGCGACGCACAAGTGTGGTCCCGCGGATGGCGGGCAGGGATACGGTCGGTTCGAGAGTAATTTCCAGCGGTTCCAGGCGCAGGAGCTGATCAAGAGGAACACGCCGGGGCTATTTAGTATCCGTGGTTTCCTGCAGCAGCTCGCTGCGGCGGGCTGGCATCATAAGTCGCCCGCCCAACTAAAACAGCTCGCGGATCAGGTCGGCAGGGAGCGCATCGCCGTCATTCACGGGTTAGGCGACGTCATGATTGACTCGCATCACGGGAGGTTACTGGCCGAGCATCTGCAGCCGGGTGTGGTGGAGTTCGTGGAGGGCATGGGGCATGCGCCCATCATGGATAGGGTGCCGTGGATGAATAAGTGGTTGGAGGAGAGAATCGCGACGGTGGAAAAGATGAGTGCTTAGGATTCGGCGAATTTGATCAAGAAGCTGGGCAGGAACCCACAGAGCAGAGCATGGCAAATTGTGACATGACACACGATGAAGAGTAGTCATAGCTCGTGATGGCTTGATTCATTTACTGTGACACCTCACATTCATCCCCTAACGCCGGTATGCATGCAGCTTTTCGCTGTGCTCACCACCCTTGGGTTTTCCATCTCCCTCGTCCGCTCATAACCTCATGCTACTTACAACATTACCAAGCCAATGCCACTCAGGTTCTCCTCGTCAAGCTTGTTTCTCCGGTCCACGCCGCCAGCAATAGGGGCAGCACGGTAGTTGAAGAGGTAGTAGTGGAGCTGACCGTCACCGGGGCCGAATTTCTGCTGTTCCAGGAAGAGGCCGTTGTCGAGCAGGGACAGGCCATTAAAGACGTCGAACTTGTTCTTCTTGCCCAAGATCAGGGCGTCGCCGATAAGGGAGTTCAACCGTGTCTTCAGGGAGGCCTTGTCGAGGGGCGTGGCCAGGCCAACTTCGGAGGCGTAGTACCAGAGGTAGGCGGCGCGGACGACCTGGTGCTTTGAGCTGTTGATGACAGTAGACTCGAGGCAGTAGAAGGAGAAGAAGTCGGTAATCTTTCCATTGGTCTAACTGGATGTCAGTATACCTTGAGCAGAGAAGGGATGGGGACATGGGACGAACCTCGACGACATATGTCCAAATGACCTGCTCGCCAGGGGCATTCTTGTCGTGCAGGAACCAGTGCCTGAACTCGTCCTTGGAGAACTCGGGGGCCATGTCGAAACGCTTCAAGTACTTGGCCAGAAGTTCGTTTGCGGCATCAAGGTCCTTCTCCTGGAGCTCACGGAGGCCCTTGGTCGACGTGTTATCCGGAAGCTGGTACTTGCGAATCTGGTACTGCGGCTTGCTGTTGGGGGGCAGCGGGCTGAAACCGACCTCGTACAGCTTCTGCCAGTTGAGGGCGCGGTGGAAGTAACGACATGTGCTGACGGGCTTGGGCAGCACAACACCACCAGTGTAGAGACCCTGCCAGATCTCGCGCAGGTTGCTACGGCGCGTGATCTCCTTGATGAGCACGGGGGCCAGACGCTTGCCGCGGAGCTTCTTGTGGACAACCATGAAGTTGACCTCGGAGCAAGTGACAACATTCTTGCGCACGCGCAAATTGACGGGGATGGCGGAAATGAAGGCGACGAGCTTTCTAGACTGTGTCGCGCGAACACCGACGTGCCACTCCTTGCGCCAGCCAGGAGCCATCAGAGCCCTGCGATGATAGTCAGATTAAGCCTGCTTGAATGTGAGCCAATGCAGAAGAATGCTTACCATTTAAGCATAGCTGGCGAGTAGTTGAAGCGGAACATGGCCTCGTCATCCTCGACATAGTGGCCGTTGAGTAGCTCGTACACCTCCTTCATCTCACCCTCGTCCTCGAGGTTCATTGTAACCCACTCGAAGCCAGCCACCATTGGCGACGCTTCCGTAGGGACCTCTTCCACCTTCTGAATGCGGATTGGCCCATCCTCAATCTTGGCCTCCGCCTCACCAAACTTGGGTACGGGTTGCGTGGCCCAGAACTTGTAGCTTGCCATATCCTTGGCGTTCTTGCCAGCCGAGGCCAGGCCCGTCATGATATCCTGCAGGTTCAAGTTCTTCATCGCCGCAGCGGTCTCTTCGGCCGACTTGTTGCTAGAACTTCCAACGCCGAGCTCATTCGCCAAAGCCGGGTTCAGGGCGAGAAGCTCGGTAAGCTGCTGGGGCGTCAGGCCACCGATGGCCTCCTTGATGGCAGCCTCCGGATCGCTGGGCTTGCCGGTGAGCGCATCCTTGACCTTCTTTCTCTTGGACTTCTTCTTCTTCTTCTTGGGAGCATCTGCAGTTGCGCCGGGCGCAGTCTCAGGCGCATCCTCCTCCTCTTCGTCCTCGGACTCGACCTCGACTTCCTTGCCCTTGCCCTTGTCGCTCGCCTCGGCAAGGGTATCGTTGGCGTCTTTGACGGCCGGGTCAAGGGGTTTGGACTCTTCGGCAGGCATCTTGGTGTCCTCGATTCGACGGTTTGTGGTGGGATGGTCGATTTTCGGGGGGGTTGGTGGGAGCTTCTTGGAGCTCTGTTCAAGCTTGCGAGGTGGGAATGGCGGGGAAGAAGTTTTGGCGCGAGAGAGGACAGTTTCATGTGCCAGCTGTGCTCCCAGGCGGTACAGGCTCCAGCTGTGTGTGACTGCATCATGGCGGGGTCACCTGCTAGGGGCCATGGCACTGCGGGGCAGAAGGTGCCAACCTGCGGTGCGGCGATCGTTCCTTAGGTCCCCAACACCCTTGCGCTAAACCGGGAAAGACCGTCACAACGTAAGGTACCTAATACCGGGGCACCTTATTATGGACGACCTGTTTACCTTCAAAGTTCAACGTGTTCACTAAATTAACAAGATGTTTTCAATCCGAGGTGGTGATCTTTCTTATATTTCAATTCTATCGAGATACAAGATTGTTTAGCCTCAATTTTGCGTCGATGCCATTATGGCGAGGCACACCCGTCCCTCCTGAGTGTCTATTGAGACCTCGGACAGCCATCATGAGATGTTATCTTTACATTGCAGAGCAAGATCACAGCAGCATTAAACGGTAATACAGTTTGCTTCATATTAATCTAAGGTGATGATGAAAACTCTGAGTAAATCTCGTCAAGTCCAACAACTCCGAGTCACACGCCGTTCAGAATGTATTGCGACTGAGTGGTGTGCTCATCCATGACCTGGTGGCAGCGGGAAAGAAAACCGAGGTAACCTGGGGATCGCCGCAAATCTGATCGATTCTATACTAGGAGACCGAACTGCCAGCACAAAAGTCATAACTGCTCCTTCTTCCAACCAAGTCATTACACCCCCGAATAGGTGCTCTGCGGTACAACAACCAAGCACCTCCCGCTCTACTCTAATGCTGGCGCTCTTGAGTTCTATGCAAAAGATACCGGCATGGAAAGCCCATGACCGCGGTTACAACGTTCTACTGCTAGTATCCGACCCAGCCATGTCATAAGCCGTGCCTGCGAGATCGAAGGAACGCATCACTGCGAGTATTACAGGCGCGTATCCCATGATGTCGTTATGTCCTGCGAGAGTTAGAAATAGCTCCTTTCAGAGCCCAGCCTTATCAATTGGTTGACTTACCACCGTGTGGAAAAAGCTCCTGACGAATTATAATATTTGGCTCGGCGTTCCACGTAGTCACAAAGGCGTTCTTACCCTTGTGGATAGTACGCACATCCTTCCACGCTTCGAATGAATGGTCACTCAGGCCCCCGGGAACAGTCGCATTAGCAGCGGCGCGGAAAAGCTTGTTACTCTCCGTCCAGGGGATGTCCGCGTCGTCTTTGGCCGAGATGAGCGTCAAGCGCAGCCGTCTCTTGGTCAGCTTGACCAGGCTCTCCAGCCGATCCACCGACGGCCACTTATCGTAGATAAAGCCCTCCATGTACTCCAAGAAGCCGGGCCAGACCTTCAGGGGTCCAAGCACGGGAAACAGGCCGCCAATCTTGTAGCCGCTCAGCATCTTGGGCAGGTTGCTGAAGCCCGCGACGAGGATGACACCGCCGAATTCGATTCCCTGCGAGGCGTACAGCTCGGCAACACCGCTCGTCACGGCTGTGCCGAGACTCTGGCCGAGAAGAACGATGCGGTCGGATGGCACGCCGGCGACGTTGATGACCCAGTCAATCAGAGTGGCAGCATCTTGGATCAGGCCGTATTCGGTTGGGCGACCTGTTGAGTGACCGAAGCCACGGTAGTCGATTGCCAGAACATGGTACGACGAAGTGTCAGTAATGACGTGATAGCTGTCTGGCCTGTGACCTTGCGCAATGTCGCCAGCGTTCTGCACATGGTCAGTATGAGAGCAGAAAAATTCACTAATCATGCATTTCTTACACCATGAACTACAACCAGTCAGCATTTGGAAGTACATGTAACGAGACCTAATGACTGACATGAAAGTACAACACGAGCATCCGGGTCCTCTTTCAAAGCCTTGAAAGACTCAGTTTCGGTGAAATCTTGGCAGAAGCCACCCTTCTGCACTGAGAATCTCTCCTCTTGCTTCAGGTACTGAGGTAGAGGCATAACATGCCATGCATACAAGCTCACTCCATCTGGAGTGTCGAGCGAGAAAGGCGTGGCTTGGCCCTCTACGGAGAGAGTTTGTCAGCGATGGCGCGTCTTACATCGGGGTTGGTGCGTAGACTTACTTGCAAAGCCCCATCTCTCAGGCTTGTCGACATCACGCCACCAGAGAGTGTTGATCTTGTGAGCGTACAGAAAACTACAAAAATGGAATTAATAACGATGGCCTGGATTTTGAGATACGAGACAACAAGTCCTACTGTCGTTGGAAGAAAGGCGTTGCACCTAGAGCCAGGAAAGTGAAGTAGAGGCCCAGCGGAGCCGCCACGACCCAGACGGCTGTCCGGAGGATCGGCGAAAGCGGAACCATCATTATCAAAGTGTTGTGGTAATTCAAAGATGCAGAGGGATGCAAAAGATACCGGAGATGAGATTGCGAGACTTCCGAGTTATCTACACATGACGGGTGGCGGTGATGTGGCCACCGTCGGTGATGCCTTGGCGAACTGGTTCCTTGCTTGAGGTTGGAATTGCCTGCGAACTCGCAGGGATGGTGACATGGACACGTTTAGCGGAGTATACTTTCATTTTGTGTGATCGTGCGTACCAAGTGGAAGTACTTGCCGCTAGTAGGCGCAATCCCCAGAATGCGGCGACCTTTCGCAGCTCTGGTCTGAGCCGCACGCCGACGACAACAGATCATCCGTCGGTATCAGATGCGCTTTTCTCCCAGCCAACACTGCCTAACTTCTGCAAATCGGTATTAATCATATCGGCAAACGAGAGCGCTTCATTGGGGCTCATTTGATTTACTCAGATGACAGCGATTGCTGAGATATTTGGGTATTTGTGCATGGACTTGGCAGCGCGCCTATGGTCGGGTTAATTTGCTAAATGCGGAGAGATGGCTACAGAGTACCGTGAGAGTAATTTGGTCTGGCCATTTCTCCAAGCTTCACAGCCACACTCATTCACATACATCTGCAGTTGCCCCCCATACCATTGTGAACTTGCGCAGAAGCCAGCAAGTGCCTGTAAGCGACTTCCGCAGACCCGATAACCTGCACGGCACATCACAAAGTCACGTAGGACTCATATAGGAGAAAGAGATGGGAGAACCAAGGGAACTGGGTGGGAGAACAGGAGGCTCTTGGTTTACCTTGGGAGAAGGAATAACCCGGAGTGCATTGCAGGACGAGGTACATGCGCCACGGTATCGCGGTACACAGGTACATGACAAAGCATGCGACGATTTTGGCGCGATGTGAGTGGCGGGCGGAACTCTTCTACGGAGCCCAGGACTCCATGTGCACCGTGCGCTTCGTCCAGTCAGGGCGCGGCAACGTGCCCAGTTTTTTTGGTCCTGTTCCAGACCAATCAAATATGGCTGTTCCTGTTAAACTCACAGCCCGCCTGCTCTTTCGCCCGCTGCGACTGGACGGCACGGCACCGCGGAAGGTCGACGTGCACCAAGTGGGAAGGACCTACTTGGACGTGGGACGTGGTGGAGTGTGTACCTTGGTACCCGGCAAGTAGCAGGAAGCAGAATGAGCAACCGCGCTCTTGCATCTCCGAAAGAAAAAAGAGGCGGCAACAGCCCAGCCGGAGCCTCAGGTACATCTGACTTTGTACCTTTTTTTCCATGCCTTTTGCTGGTCGCTGCTGATGCATCCCATACAAAGCTCCCCATGCTAATATCCCGTCCACCCCAATTCAACTCATTCCCACGAACCCTTCCCCGAGTCTCCGATTCCATTCATTCCTCCATACTCCCGACACAACCACACGCGCGAAGCCCACGCAGACGCCGTCCCGATATCCCGCGAATAGCTTAAAGCCGATATTATTCACGACTCGGCTTCACTGCCACCTCCCCTGCTCTCCCACGTGCAGCATACTCGTGCCCCCCTCCACTCCTCCCAGGAGAGTACGACAACGGCGCCGCGCGCAGTCGAGGGCTGTGGCTTCTTCTGCTGATGATGAAAATACCGACACGCTCGGGAACCTACTCGTGATACCCTGAACTCTGCGACAGGGAAGCGGCACATTCGACATGGAGAGGAAGAGGAAGTTGCCCGCCAGGGCTGCGGCGCGTGTCGAACACGTCGCAAAGAAGCGCACCGTCACCCCTCCCGAGCCCCGATCAGTTACGCCAGTCCCAGTACCAGTCGAGGAACCTCCGCCGCCGCCTCCCTCGCTCCCAAAGTCCATTCAGGCCGGGAAGCCGCTGCCGACCGTCGAGGATGCCCAACCCGATGACCTCCCCGCGAAGGAGTATCAGTCATTTCAAGAGAGGTAAGGCCATATGCCCTGAGATCTAGCCGCCGGCTTGGACGTAGCTTTTGGATGTGCAGAGCTGACATTTATCCATAGTGGTGTTCTTGCCGAATCGCTGAGCCGGTCGCGACACAAATGGCTGGCCGAGGGACTATTCGAGAAGTACTGGACGAAACCTGGACGAAAGAAGAACGCAACCGAAGACCCCAAGAACCCACCGAAAGATACTATGAGTAAGATTGGGCCTTGCACAATCACGATCGAGCCGCACGTTTTCGATGTTACCCTTTGGGCGATCAAGGACCCCAAACCTCCCGCACCCACCACGCAAGCTACCTTTCGGCCCATCTTGCAGTATGGTCCTCCCAATGGAGCTATGCCCCCTCCACCTACACCAGCAAACCCGAACCCAAGTCCTGCACTCGCTCCCAATGACCCGAAGCCGACGCCTTCCGCTCCTAGCCCGGCTCCTCCGTCACCTGCTCCCCAGCAGCCACCTAGGCCACCCTCGTCGGCTGCGAACGAGCCACCCAAAGTGATGCCCTCGCCGCGCACTTTGGAACCTATGCGGACGGCCAGTGCGACACCACCTCCGCCACGGCCGGTAGCTCCATTGGTCCCAGCGGCTGTGGCACCAGTTCCAGCAGCAGCGCCGGGGACGGCATCACATCCTGTTCCTCCTTTGGCCGCGGCACCTTCAGCACCAAACTCGCGACCATCGAGCTCAACGCCGACACCAGCTCCGGGCGCCGCAAAACCGCCGGCGGCAAAACCACAAGGAACAGATCCCATCATTATGACGCTCGCTGAGAAGGCATCCGAGGACCCTCATCTACGAGACTTGATGAAACGGGTCGCCGCTGGTGAAGCAAAGCCGGATGAACTAAGCAACTTTCAAAAGATCATTGATCAAATTACAGCGGAGTATAAGAGGAAGGGAGGGCAACAGGGTCCTTCAGCGGATAGGCTATTGGTTGACGGGAGGACAGTCAAGTACTTTGCCGACGAGGTACGGACCATTCTGGATATCGTACTCGCTACGAATCCGAAGCAAAAGTCATCAGAACTTCTGCCTCCGCGTGGAAGCGACCCTTTGGTTGTGGCCTTGGTGAGGGCGGCTCTGGATGCAAAACCGTTGCAGACTATGATCCGACGGATAGCTGACAACAAGCCTGGCTTCACCGACGCCACCGACCTCAAAGCATCTCTCGACAAGCTGCACAAGGAACTCAAGAGCGCGCAAAACACCCCGACGCCTCAAACCCCGACGACCCAGGCTGCCATCAACGGCACCGCGAACGGGCACCCCGCTAAGCCCGCGGCAGCTGCGCCTGCTGCTTCACCGGCCCCGACTCCAGCAGCTCCACAAATACAGCATCCTCCTCAGCAAGCCCTTCGGTCAAAGGGCCCTCCACCACCTGTGCGGCCTGAGATCTCAGGCGTCTGCCTCGATTTTGCTGGTGGAAATGGCGATCGCTACCTGTTCCCAAAATACAGCATTCTCGAGTATCTGCCTGGCGGACAGCAGGCTATCGCATCGTTCCTCATTGTTCGCAAGGGCAGCCAGCTGGAGTATGGAGGTGACGCCAAGCTCGACTACTACCAGCCTGTCACCGTTCGGCTGTACGCTCAGTCAGCTCGTCACCTCGAGTACCTGCAGAGAGCAGTGGCACCCCAGGAAGAAGTCATGAGGTACATGGACGATGTGATGGACAACATGACAAGGGCGGAATACGTCCTCCTCGCCATGCGCCTGCCACGAGGAGAGCAACAACCCAACAGCGAGCAAAACGGCAAAGATACCCCTGGCCCAAGCGGCCAAATAGTGAGACCAGACTCGACAGCACCAGAGCACCCGGCTCCCAAACAGCAGTCAGTGCAATGGGGACCTGTGACGTCTAAATTCGTTCGGAGTTTCAACAAGAAATGGTTCGAAGAGTGGAAGAGAACCGAGAAGACCGCGGGCAAGAAGCCCTCTTCGGCAGATGAGGTCTTCCAAGAGTCCTGCGAGGCTGTTGGCCGCGACCCCCTTGACAAGGACATAGAATACGAGAAGATGATTGAGCTCTTGGCGGCTAAGGACTCCGAGTCGTCATCTTCTTGAAGTCGACACAGCTAGAAAGCGTACCATGTATTACCTAGACGACACACCACAGCGAGCGACCGGGGGTCGGGGGCCTCGAGTGAGGAGGGTAGGTTTCGTACTGAGCATTTGGGTCAGGTCCGGTTGTTCGCGTTGCATAAGGTACGGGATGGCCTTTCTTCCGCACTGCGCCGTTGTTGTTGCTACTTTGTTGTTCACGTTACTGTACAGAGCAAAGGATTGGGATCTGATTCTGTTTTTGATTGGGAAAAGGGGACTGGAGTGGTCTATCACAAGAGGGGAATGCCTCTCTCCACATACTATTTTTCATCTTTATTCCAATTCGGTGTTTGAGAGTGTTGAAAGGCCTCGGGCGTGAGGTTGGGATGCGGTGTGGCTCAACTCATTTTTATTATTACCCCCCAAACCCCCACTTCGATGGAGTTGTGGGACAGTGGAGAGACGCAGTGGTCAGATATGTATGTGAGCATTGGCATGCCTCACTGCTGCTTATCCGACCAGAAAATACAGAATATAACAAGTACACATACTGTTCCAGGCTCATATTGCTTACTACTTTGGGTAGAGATGTCCCCAGCTTACCCACCCAGACGTTGTCCAACTCCCCAGGATTGAGATGATTTGAACTCTGCTGAAGTGCTCTTGTCTTCCGACCCCTAAGGAACGGTTAGATTTGGTGACTGCAGCGCGGCGTATCTGGGAAGGTAGCAGTAACAATGGAACAACGCAAGCTGGTCGGACAACAGATACGACGCGCAACAGCGAGATCAATAGCCAACCTCGCTAACATGGCTCTCACGTCTCTTGGGGTTGCCTTTTGTGCCAGACTAGGGTCAGAGCAGCTCGTAAAACTTATCTTGGCATCAGAGAGGTCCAAAACCATAAAGGGATCAACAACAAAAAAGAGTTCACCGCCTCGGTGCTGAACTGGGGGCTACATCTCTTGGTACTCATAATGGGAAATTTCTGGGTGCTCAAGCTGGGATTCGAACTCGGGTACCCTCAGCCTGTCGTCGAGTAGGCTTTGGGCGGAATTTGATTGTTGACCTTGAACCACTCCTCCACCCAGCCACTTTGACCTGACCCCCCGGCCTAGAGGGGCGCCTGTTGGCTGGTGACGGGAATGGAAGTGAGAGGGGGTATAAGGGTTTGAGGTCGTGATGTATTCTTCTATGGGCGGTGTGTGATGCGTATACACGAATCCACGCGTATTCTTATTTGGGGGACCATGTAGTGACAAAGGGGCAGGTGCCAAGCGTCAGACTTCATACAACTACATTCTCTCTGTGCTGGCTCTATGATGGCTACTTGTAACTGATTATTGGGGGACAATGAAGCTCAAAATGTCAAGTTAATTCCAAGCCTCGAGATGCCTTCTCCTTCCTCTTGCTACTTTTCTGCTTCCTGCATTTCATCCCAAGGTACCTTCCCTCTGTGAACCCTTTCCCTCCATACTCGAGGTCAGAGAAGGCGCCCTTTCCTTCTATGCCTATTATCGCCCAACCTCCTTCCGTGCCTTCGATCTACCTGCCTTGCCTCAGATACGCTTCTTCCTTCCGGTTCAGTTCCCCCTTTAGCTCCTTCCTCCTTGGCCAGCACCCCCTTGTATGCAGTCAACCCTCTTCATCTCCCAGCAATCCGGGTGTTCAGGTCCATTGGCCAAATGGTCCACCGAAGCTTCATCGCTGGCCTTCGGGTGTAGGTGGGCCAGAGTTTCAATGTCGGCTCCGGTTGATATTGCTTTTTTTCGACTTTTGGCTATCATGTCATCATTTTAAAGCGGTTTGGCTATCTCTCTCATGTGGATAGACGTAGGCCCTTTTTGAGAACATACACATACACACACACGGCTTATGCGATAGGCATGTAGCAGGCAGTCGAGCTACTCTATTCTGCAGTTTTTCGTACCAACATGCCTAGACTAAGCATATGTGCCAGTGAGTGTGTGCATGATCTCTTCGTTGGTCGTCAACCACCCTGCCCGCATCCTCCTCGCATAACGCGCCCCTGAACTTTTAACCAACTTCAACGGCTGTATCAAAACCGATTCCACGTGGACGATTATTCAGCGCTGGTACTTCATTGTGATCAGTCCTTTTTGTATATATCCGACCCAGGTAGGAGACATGGCGGTAGCTGGACGAGATTCATCTCTAGCCTACGACGCCATATCCTTGTTCCAAGAGAGCTGCACTCACTCTGAAAGTAGAGCTGGCAAGAGGAGGATAAGGGTCTCTAAGATTACTTGTGAAGCCGCACTGCAGGTTTATTAGGGACGAGGTGATCCTCCCCACAGGGTTCGCAATCAAATCTATCCATTTCATCACTTTATGATCAGGGAACAAACAGAATGCCATCACATGCTTGATACACATAGTCTAAAATGGCCCATCATCTATCCAAGAGCTGTTTCAGGGAACTTGACAGATACAGATCTACGCCGAGATTACCAGTCTCAGTACAATCTGTTGAAGAGCAGTCAGTGGCTCGCTCAAGAAACTCATCACCCGTAGCACAAGATCCCGAAAGCCGAATGCGCACAATCTATGCGGAAACATCTTCAATACCATGTGATTCTCTCACTCAGATGATGATCTTTCCTCGCCGTATGGGCGTTACTCATTTTTCTTTTCTCCAAACTCGAACAAGACTATTCCACTCGAAAGATACCTCATCACCAAGCAAAAGCGTGGAGACACATTCGTCTTGCTCGTGTCTCTTCAAGCCTTGATGATCAATGTGAATGTTAGCAGAAAGAATTAACCCCTCTCCAACGCCGGAAATGTGGTTTACCTCGCGGGAAGAAACCGTTAGTTCTGGCGACGACAGGAAATATTGAAACTCACAGTCACGGGCCGTCGACATGTGGTTGATGGCTTAGGAGAGGCGTCTGAGGGTTACAACAGCACATGCTCGATCTTGAGCACAGAATAGCCTGTGGATTACGTATTGCTGCTTCTCTTCTGTTTCTCGAGATGCCGCATTAGAGTAGAGCCACCCGGGAAGAAGCGCCATATTTTTGAGTAGAGTTTTGTCACCAACTTCTCTCGGGAAACCATCCATCCAGGTGAGCGTACAACCGGGGTACCACTCACAAGCTACTCTACCACGAAACTCACTTGACAAGAAGGCCGAACAGTCTGTAGATATTTCAACCATCTATCCAAAGCAGATGCTGTGATGATCTATATAACAAGCACGCGTTCCCGCTATCTCCCCCTCCACTGCCCTCATCATCACACTCCTTCACATCCCCTCGTCCTCTTAAATCAATCGAGATGAAGTCCCAACTCCTCCTCCCAGCCGCACTGCTGACCCTAACGCACGCCGCCACAATCCCAGAATCCGCAAAACCTATCATAGTCCCAGACTCAACCCTCGACGCCGCCATCCGCGAACCCCTCCAAAACTTCATCACCGGGCCCGTCCACGGCATAGACCCCTCTGCCTTCTTCCCCGTCGTCACCCTCTCCGAGAACGACGAGTACAAACTCGCCGCCGCGGGCGAGGTAGCCTGGGCCGCCATCGAGCTCGAGGCCTCGGCCGCCCTCGCTGGTTCCGGCTCCGTTTCTGCCTCTGACAAGGGCGAGAACCTGCGTGATGCTGCGGCCGTGGCTGTAAACTCCATTGCGAGGAGCGGTGTCCCCCCCCCTCCTCACTCGGACCCCCCGCACCGGGAGCCCCATGGGCATCATGAGGGTATTACTAGGGAGCAGCTTTGTGAATATTACAAGGGTATTGCGTGGAAGACTGGGGATCTGCAGACTGCTGTATATCAGTGGCAGTATGAATATGTTCCTTGGCTTGTTCACAACAAGGGACCTTACATCGTAAGTTTCCTCTCTGCTGTCCTTCGTGTTATGACTTTGACTACCTCCTCAACTCTCTCCCACTCCCATGACCTCATTATTTCCTTTGTAAAGAACTCACTAACCCCCATCTCAGGTTGTTCTAGACGGCCTCCGTCACATCGAATGGGTCCTCTGGAAGATCGAACAAGCCCTCGTCAATGCACACTTCCACTACGAAGATGAGTTCGACATCCTCAAATGCTATCAAGAGGTAAGCACCCCCCACCCCCCCCCCCCATTCCCCCTTCCGAACCGACCACATCACCAGAGCTAACAACAATCGCAGTACTCCGGCCGCGAACTCCAAATCACCCACGTCCCAACAACAGCCCCGGCCCTCCCCACCCAAACGACTGCAAACATGACAATCGGCCTCCCAACAAACACAATGGTCCACCACCCCCGCGCCCTCGACGAGCAACTCGTCACCACCACAGTCACAATCCAACCCGCCAGGCCTACCACGCTGCCACCACCAGGACATCCTGAGAACAACAACAACAACAACAACAACAACAACAACAACAACAACAACAACAACAGACACGAAGAGACCGGCACCTCGTGGCCTCACCTCCCCTGGCGCCGCGACCACCCGTCCTTGAAGAAGCTCCTCCGCCTCATCACGGCCAAGGCCCCCGTGTCAAAGTACCAGTCGTACGCGAACCACCGGATTTATAATGTCTTGAAGCAGCTCGAGTATACGGCGTTGGTGAGTGAAGTTCTTTTCTCCTGTCTTTGCCCTTCGTCTGCGCTGCGAAGGAGCTGTAAAATGATGTGGATACTGAGATGCTAACTACGTATGCCACGACGACAGGCTTCTGCCAATGCCCTGCGCAGCAAGTTGAGGGATCCGCACCACCAGTCTCTGCTCGACTACGATATCTGGAAGGGTCAGGGTATCAACCACGCCTTTGAGGTGGCAATCGCAGCATATGAGGTCAAATGAGTGACGATGTAGAAGCCACTTCGCCCGCTCCTTCGAGGCTTCTCGCTTTCTGAAGAGCAAGGCGGCTTCACGGGCTTCACGAGCTTCACTGGAACTCTTGAGGGTTGGCAGCGAATGGTGGCTGAAGCCAAGCTCAACCAAGACAGGAACTTAATGGAGGTTTCATACAATAGGAAAGACTTGTCATCAACAGAATTCGTGGAACATTGAAAATTCATCGTTATTGGAGATAATCTGTGGGAATCCTATGCTTTGCAAAATCAATAATCACCCAGTCTAGAGCACCCCTGAAACCAATGTCTTGTGCTCTAATAGTAGCAATGCTTCTGAACAGTAGTTGGGAGAACAACTCGTGCGAGACTCAGATCATGGAGCCACCACTCTGATTGTTGCCCACGAGACCAGCCATTTCCAGAAGCGCACGATCGGCCTCAATGTCGCCAGAGCCCAGGTTGATCTTTCGCCGAGCTTCCGCCTCACGATGCTCCCACGCCCAGTGCTCCGCCTGTGCCTTGGCCTCCTCGTCCCCTCCACAACCCCAAACTTCCAGGCTCTCAATCTCGAACCGATCTTGAAAGTCAAACTTGCGCGTGGTGCTCGTTTGGAATGCGCCGCCACCAGTGGTCCAGTCGTGGGTGAACACTCCGAATTCGAAAGAGTCATCGAGGAGTAAGGATACGGCTCCGAGAGATAGCATAGTTTGCCTCCGGTGAGCTTGCGTCTGCCGGGGATGGGGACATCCGACACCGAGCATAGGTCGATTAGTAGGCGCCTTGGTGAAGGCGACGTAGTCCGAGTTGTATTTGGAAGCTGGGAACACATCGTGAACGGGCTCCAGCTGAAAAAGCACTGTGTCTCGCTCGCCGAAGCATTCCTTGGCCGTGTGCTTCCATGGTTGACTAACATAAACGCCAAAAGTCAGACGCTCTCCCTTGCCGCTGTTGGGGAAGCGACGTGGAGGGATGGATGCGGCAAAATTTGACTCCTGACTGCCGTGAGGCGCGTCATTTAGCCGAGTGCCGCGTACCAGAAGGATAGTGGGTGCTCGCCAATTGAAGACTTTGCTCTGGAAGCTCCCCGTGGAGAAGCCGTCTTCGTTACCGGAGTACAGAAGCCGTAGTCGTCTAAACAGGTCGGATCCTGGGAGGAAGAATGACAATTGCGAGAGGACATTGAGGTTGAGAATCTCAGCAGTGTCCTGCAGCAAAGGTTGCACAACTTCGTCTGGCTGCTTTTCGGCGGCCACGGGGTCTTCACCCTTGTGTTTTGTAAAGTCCAAGTTTTTGGAGAAGAGAAAATGCTCAAATAGAGGGCTGAAGCCGTTGAAGAGATTCGGGAAGCATACAGGGAGCACTCGGCTGAAGTGGCCAAACTTGATGCCGGGGGCTTTTTCGACATTCAGGAACGCAGCGAGGATGTTCTCTGCGGTAGCACGCAGGCTTTCTAGTTCGTCGCCCGTAACCCGGGTGGAGTACATTGACAGACTCTCTTGAGGACTCAGCGGTGCAATCAGGATCAGTAGCATCAGCAGCTTGCGGAAGTTATCCGCGGGTATCATGGCCCCATGCATCTTTGGCGCATCGCCCTGCCACACGGCGTCGTGGATATCAAGGAGCTCAAAGGCGGCAATCTCGAGATCGTCATCGTCTTCCTCGGGTTCGTCCACAGGTTCGTCGACTGCGAAGCCAGCCGCATGGCTTGCGGCCTTGGGTTCGTTTGGCGGCGTCTCTTTAGAATCTTCGACAGCAGTAATTGCTTCGGATGCCCTGCGATCGTGTACTGCCAGACTCTTGAAGAGGAGCTTCGCCCTATCCGTAGCTCCCTTGGCCAGAACCCGCTTGTGTCTTTGCGTCATGATAACGACGACCATGATCATCTGATCGATACCGAGAACCGCCGGGGCATCCTGCAAGAAGGGGAAGGCGCCGATGTAGGACACCAACTGGAAGATGACGGGCGAGACGTGAAGGATATCGGGTATTTCGAGGAATCGAGCGAGAGTGTCTTCCTTCAAGTAGCGGATGTCGCCTTGGTTATCTGCCAAGCTTTTGAAGACATCTTTGAACGAGTAGAGCTCGAGCGACGTGAAGCACTTTTCGGCAAACCGAGTGGCCTGGTGTCATCGATGGTCAGATTAAAGTACAATCCAAATGTTGGAGTAACCATGATTCAAGATAGAGGGGTGATGTGTGGTGTCTTGACGGGTGGTGCACTCGGCTACTTACGAGTTCACGGGTGAGCTCCTCGTGCGTCGCCTGCCGCGAGTTCTCGTCAGACAGGGCTTGTCCCATGATGAGCTTTGTATTTCAGTTCAAGAGGCATCGAAGTCGGGGGTCAGAGTTGTACAGTATGCTGTGGCGTAATCATCACCGGTCATGGCCATGTTGAAGTAGGAGGAGGGAAGAATGAGAGATGGAGGGAGAAGGAGGAGGAGCATGGATGGGAAGGTTGATGACGGAAGGCCCAATGTCTGAGGTGCATCCTCCATCAGGAGACAAAGCAACGGGCGTCATTAGCACAGCTCAGCGCCTAGACTTTCAGCGGGTGTCAGACCAGGGCGGGTCTCCCGTCTTTCCCCAGCAGTGGAAGAACCCCGCTAACGTCACTGTCACTGGCCCGAGCTCCCTGCCCCTCCATGCGAGTTTTAGTCATCAAATGCAGCACACCTCCCATCTCAGTTGACTTACACATGCGGATGCGTTCACTCTTACCTTGGCATATGAATAGTATCGGTCGATGAACATCGGAATGAGGGAAAATTGAAAAACGAATGACAAGACCGAAACTCGCCTACGAAAATCGGACCCGTAAGCTACAGTGAGAGTAGCGCTACACTCAGGATTAGTGCATACCCCTTCTACGCTTCTGGGCAACTGTCCCGTCTCAAGTGATGGAAGTAATGAGACCAAATTGAGGGATACACCTTTGGAACATAATACGTTGACGGATACATAGAATCAAGAGACTCTGTGATGAAATTCATGAGTATTCGACTGCCCAACCCCGGCAGGTCTTCCCTAATTCACCTATTCCACCTTGTCTCTACAGCTCGAGTCCGCCCCCGTCGCGCCGGCAGCCTTGCACCGCCGCCTGATATCGCAATTTTCCAACGCACTATAGAGGAAGAAATAGTTCTTGTAGTAGTGGCACTCCTTGAATGTGACGCCAAACTCCGTCCTCGACTCCAGGTTGCCGGGGCATATAATGTTGGTGGCCAAGTCGTTGGGCATGCCGTTATCGTCGTAGCAATGACAGAACTTGTAGTTGGCGCATCCTTGTACAATCCATGAAAGCGATGCCAGAGTGGCGGCAAAGATGGTGGTAGCCTTCATACTGCAATTACTGATAAGTCCTTTGCTCTGAAAATCAAGTTATGGGGAGTCACTCACTTGACAATAAGTTGCAAGGCTGCGTGGATGGCGTTATTGCCAATTGAAGAGGGGGGATTCTCTCATAGAAGAGTTCCAGGTCATCTTAAGTAGTGATGCCTCCCAAATTTAATGGGCATTTTCCTTGTTTCACCAAAATCCTTGCCGTGGTACGTTGTGATCATCCATACTGGCGGGTGCCGTAAAGGACGTCCAAATAACACGGCAAAGTTTATCAGAGTTTGGTCCTTTGACGAAATGCCGATCTTCGGCCCAGGTATTCCAGGTTCCTGGACTATCCACAACTGCACGGAGTCATGCAACGATTTACTCGCATAAACAGCAAACACACGACACTGGACTGTAAATCCAAAACCAAGCGAGCTAGGCTCCGTTGCTCTCGCCTCACGGCCATACCGTTCACACTGGGTCGGTGCTAAGGCCGTCGTGAAGCTTGCACAGAGTCAACCATAAACCCACCGGAATGCCCCATTTCAGCCGGTCATCTGTAGCGTTATGCTGCTCGTTTCTGAGGATAGGTATACGAGAAGTGGCCTGCTAAGTGACAGGTCAGCTTTGCCAAGGCTGATTTCATCTCCTGCCTCTGTCAAAACATTAGATAATCGTTCAATTCAACCCAGATGCGCCGCCGGCTGCCCCCGGTTTTATATACGACGGAGCGGAGTCTTCAATGAGACAATGTGCCCGTCCTAGACGTCGATGCCAATGCCAGTACTGTACAAAGTAGCCGTGATGTGATACAAATCAGAATGTCGATTTCCCCCTATTCAGCCTTATTTCTTGGGCTCTTCTGATGACCCTTCGGCTGACGACGGCGACGGCTTTCTGCCGTAAATCTCGCCAATGGCACCAAGCGAGCTCTTCGGATTCTCCTTCTTCTGCGCCTTCTCCTCAGCCGGCTTCTCAGTTGCAGTAGCGTCTCCCTCCTCAGGCTTCTTCCACGCCGACAAGCCCAGCGCGCCGAGGACACCCCCAGTCTTGCCCTGCTCTCCCTCGGCCAACGTATCTTCGCCAGTGTTCTTGGCATCGAGCCTCGCTCTCCTCTGCAACATCCTCGCCTTGAGCGCCTTTTCCTCCTCGTCGCGGGCCTCGAGTTCACGGATCCAGCGCTGGCGCTGCTCCTCGGCGTCCTTGGCCTCCTTGATCTTGCGCAGCTCGGCGGTGCGTTCGCGGTCCTTGTTGTAGTACATGCTACCGGCGAGCATGGCGAAGACAGTGAAGCCCTGGGCGGCGACACGGGCCCGGAACATCTTGTTGGCTTGTCTGGCGTCGCCGCGGCGGGTTGCGCGCCAGGCATTGACGAAGGCGAAGACGGTCAGACCACAGCCTGTGTTTGCGACGCTGGTTAGAAATGTTCGACGCAGCAGGTTTCCGGGGGAGAGAGGGGTAGTGGTGAAAGCAATTACTTACCAAGAGGAATCAGAGGCTCTTCCTTGAGCTTGCGGAAGGCCTTGTGAAGAACGCGCTCATCGTAAAATTCGCTGCGAGTCGCGTGCGTGGGTTAGCAAACCTCCAAACCCTGGACTTTGGTGATGTGCAAGCTCCTGCAAAGCCCGAGAGTGGCGGGCAGGTTGGCTTACTTGTTCTCGTCAAAAGACGATGGCATAGGCTGATCGAGCAACGAGGGTTTTCCGTCTGGGCCGGGCATGTTGGCGGTTTGCAATTGACGTTGTGGTGGTCGAAGAAGTCGTCCTCGAGGAGTTGGGAGTTAGTCGTGCGATTGTTCCCCCCAAACTGCAGTGGTCGGCGAATTCGATGATGAAATGGACTCCGAGACCCTCCTAGCTTTCGGGGACTGGCTGCACGGCGCCCAGAGCTTCGACCCTTGAGCAGATTTGCGGCAAATCCCGGCCGGCGCCGTGTGGCTTAACTTGCTCTCCCCAGCCACATTTCGTGCAGCTCGGATTCTTATCAACAGGTGCCTTATCGACACTTTATCGGATAAGATGATGTGACGCACAGTCCATGCCCGATAAGATACCCCGGTCTGCAGTGTCAGCGATGTCGCCCTCAACTCCCAGCGTGACGGACACTGACGGCAGGGGGTTCGCGACGCCCTTGCTGACGCTACAGCAGGTACATGGGTGCCACAGCCAATCCTCAGCGCCAGAGAAGCTGCTGACAGGGCGTGGACGGCAGCGCTGGCCAACACACCGCAAGAAAAACCGTCTGATGTTCTACCCCGCGAGCCCGACTTGCGCTCCGATATCTGCCCCACTATGAACAAATTTCCAGTTTAATTCAGGCCGGTCTGGTCCCGTTCATTAGGTTGTTGGGGCCCGCCGTTCGTGACTCTTTCCTGGACGATTCTTCTACCTCTGTCCCGGGCCAAGTGACTTCTTTTCTTCTCACAAACAACTCTCCCACGACATCACGACAATGTCAGAGAACGCAGAGCCCCCCGTCGTCGCCGTCATGACCAACGGAACCCTCAATGGCGTGAATGGCGACCACCAGCCGCGCCCACGAACACCGCAGCCCGCCGGCATGTCCTTGACCGAGTACAGCGCCAACCCGTCCACGCCGCCAGAAGAGAGAAGAAGCCGCATCAAGGGTGTTGTTCCCGAGGACTTTCTGCTGCCTGATGGCCACCCAGACGTGAGGACAATCCCCAACAACAATGACAATGGCTCAATTGGGATCACTGCTAAACTTTTGTGTGCGCCTCTAGTACCTCCGAATGATCGCCGCCGCAACGTCCCGCGTTTACGAAGCCTGCAAGGTCACACCGCTCCAGCCCGCCGTCAACCTCAGCAACCGACTCGAGTGCAATGTTCTCCTCAAGCGCGAGGACCAGCAGCCCGTCTTCAGCTTCAAGCTGCGCGGCGCCTACAACAAGATGGCTCACCTCGACCCCGCCGTCAGCTGGAAGGGCGTCGTCTGCTGCTCCGCCGGCAACCACGCTCAGGGCGTCGCCTACTCGGCCCGCAAGCTCAAGATCCCCGCCACCATTGTCATGCCAGAAGCCACACCCAGCATCAAGCACCTCAATGTCGCGCGCCTGGGCGGACACGTCGTCTTGCACGGTGCCGATTTTGATGCCGCCAAGGAGGAGTGCGGCCGGAGAGCGGCGCAGGACGGCCTGATCAACATCCCCCCCTTTGACGACCCGTACGTCATCGCGGGCCAGGGAACCATTGGTATGGAACTGTTTGGCCAGATCAACATGTCCAAGCTCGATGCTATCTTCTGCTGTGTCGGAGGTGGTGGCCTCATCTCCGGAATCGGTGTCTATGTGAAGCGCATGGCGCCCCACGTCAAGATCATTGGTGTCGAGACCTACGACGCCAATGCGCTGGTCCAGTCCTTGGCCAAGGGTGAGCGAGTGGTGTTGGACAGCGTCGGCCTCTTTGCAGACGGTGCCGCCGTCAAGACCGTCGGCGAGGAGACGTTCCGCCTCTGCAAGGATGTCGTGGACGAGGTTATCCAAGTCACCACCGACGAAGTCTGCGCGGCCATCAAGGACATGTACGACGACACCCGCGCCGGTCTCGAGCCCGCTGGCGCCCTCTCCATCGCCGGTCTCAAGAAATACGTCGCTCAGAACCCGAGCGATCGCCGCAAGACCATGGTGGCTGTCACCTCTGGCGCCAACATGAACTTTGATAGGCTGCGCTTTGTCGCTGAGCGCGCCACCCTTGGCGAGGGCAAGGAGGCTCTGCTGGCGGTCAGCATCCCTGAGAAGCCCGGTGCCTTCTCCAACCTCATCACCAGCATCATGCCTCACTCCGTGACTGAGTTCTCATACCGCTACGCCACCGACGAAGTCGCCAACGTTCTCATTGGTATCTCCCTGACCGCCCCCGCGTCGCAAAGAACGCAGGAGCTGCAGATGCTCCTGGAGCGCATCAGGTCGCACGACATGTCGGTGACGGACCTCTCCGGCGACGAGCTCGCCAAGAGCCACATTCGGTACCTCGTTGGTGGTCGCTCCAACGTGCCCAACGAGCGCCTGTACATGTTCAACTTCCCTGAGCGACCTGGAGCTTTGGAGAAGTTCCTCATGACTTTGCGCCCCAAGTTCAACATCAGTTTGTTCAACTACCGTAACTACGGCGGTGACACGGGTAAGATCTTAGCGGGCATCCTGTGCCCCGATAACGAGGTTGATCAATTGGAGACGTTCTTGACCGAGATTGGATATCCGTGGGAGGACTGCACCCAGTCGGCCGTCTTTAAGACTTTCCTCCGTAGTTAGAGGAATGGAGGCTTGGAAACCCCGTTTACTCGGTTGATTTTCGTACGGCGCTGGGCGTTTCTGCAAAAATTTGGGTGACAGAAAACGGAACATTGGGAGATATCACGCATGCTGGTGCAGGTTGGGGAGGAAGAAAAGCCGCCTCTTGTAGATAGACTATTCAAACTCAATTAGAAGTTATTTACATGAACGTGCTTCTTTCCGCTAATGTTGAATACGATTTGTTATGCCCAACATTCAAATTGAATCATCGCATCCCATTGTCGGTACCTTTTCGTCCGATACCGCAGTTGGGCGATAAGAGTTCATGTCCCGATAAGCGCACGGACATTAGCAACACGTGATGAGCGCCAAGCGTCGAAAATGCTCCAACTGAGGCCATCCAGGCCCCCTTCACCACCAGAGCAGTCGGCATCGCGAAGCTCCACGCCTCACCACGAAATACGGCTCCCGTAGCTCCGGACAGCTCTCAATCGACAATTCTCGTGTCTCACCACCCATCAGACTTTTCAACGCACCAGAGCCCAAGCTCTCGACTCCCACTGTGTTCGACCCTTCCCCTCATATTTCACCCGACGAAAACATCGACCAGGAAAACCGAGAAAAGACTACAGCATGGCTTCTACTCTCGCCGTCTCCCTCAGGGCCCTGACTCTCAGCACCGCCCGCGCAACGATCCCCCGCGCCGCCAGCACTACGGCAGCAGCCACGGCGACGCGCGCCCTCTCGACGGCGATCCTGACGAAGCAGCCGGCGCAAAAGAGCGAGTCGATGCTCACGCAGGTCGGAAAGAGTGCCTCGGGCGTGGTGAATGCCGTGGTGCAGCAGACGAGGGGGATGAAGGTGCACAGCTCCGTCAAGAAGAGGTGTGAGCACTGCAAGGTACGTTTTTGCCTTTTTCCGTGTTTATGGGAGAGGGGAAAGGCCGTTGGGGGATGGGCTAGGTCGATTCGGAGAAGGGGAATTGAGGACACTGGGACGGACGAGGAGGGAGGGATTCGAATTGTGAAGCTGAGCTTTGGTATGGGGTTTTTCTGCTAACTTTATGCGCGACAGATTGTCAGACGCAAGGCGGGCAAGAGACATAACGGATACCTGTACGTCATCTGCAAGGCGAACCCCAGACACAAACAGCGCCAGTCATAAGAGAATCTTTGGTTCTTGGGACTAGAGAAGGATACTATCAACGGAGCCGTGTGTATGAAGACCTTGTACCATACAGAAGAGGAGGGGCGAGAGGAGCTCAGAGCTTGGTGTCAAGGGGCATTGGGCGAGCGATAGCATGTGAGGATGTTGCGACTGTAGACAAGTTTTGAGAGACGACCATGGGATCGATACCATTGTCCCACTGGAGTTTTAGAAAGATCCCCCTCCATCACTGGGCACCTTGCAAGCTGTAGAAGCAAATGGCAGCGAGGATTAGACCTTTTGTGGTGTGTATTATACAAAGATTCTTTTTACTGGTTTTACAATGATGAGAAAGAAGTCTACATTCCGTCAACGTATCGTTCCATGCCCTGCCACTCCGTCTTGCCTGTTGAGATGAGATAGCGGATATGTCCCTAGAGCAGGGTATTGTCAGTCCTGTATGAATGAGAAATAATATGGGAGCTTACGAGATCCGTCACATCGCGGTGACGCTCAAACTCATCGCGGGCATATCGTCTTGACTCCGCGCGGGTGTTTGGGTCGGCGATGCGCCGTGTGCCGCGGATGATTTCGCGGTAGAGGGATATCACGCGGGATCTCTGGAGGAACTATTGAGAGTATGAGCATCTATATGTCAATTCTACGCATTTATTCATCCAGATGCTTGAACGCCATTCTTATGTAGAAAATCGAGGGAAAGACTTGACGTGAGAGTGTTATATTTATGGTTCTTACATGATCCAGACTCAAGGCCTTCTTCCCCAGCCGCGACCTGGCTGGCCGGGTAGAGTAGCTGCGGACAATTGACCACAGGGGGGTTTTGAAGGGCATTAGGGCCGAGTAATGGGAGGATCCGAATACATCTGCGAAAAGAGCATGAGATTTGAATGGATTTCGTCTCATTTGGACGTCGGAATTTCTCACATACCTATATCAAATGAGAGTGCTGCGCTTTCATGCTTTCAAAGCCAATTGGCGCTCCCCGGGCGTGGTGTGGAAACTTTTTGGAGTGGATGAGGTTAGGACGGGGAAACTTCGGGACTTGGAGCCGGTGCTCGGCAAGGGTCTCGCTGAGAGAAAGAGCTCTGTAAACTGAGGTAATGTACCTTAGAATGTGTCTTTACACCGAGCTTCCAGCCTCCAAAGTCACACAAGTCTTGAAGAATCGGATCGCAAAATTCATCTTCGTTTATCCCTTCCTCTTCGTATTGCCATATAGACAAGCCACAGAGCTCATATATCTCCTCCCATCTCTGACGGAAGAATGGCACCACCCCGCAAGCGCCGCAGGGCCCCAACCAACCCCATCGAGGCAGCGAACCGCAAATCCGACGCCGACTTTGTCAGAGACCATCTCCAGCCCAGGTTCGTCTCACATCCACGCAGGCGTATCTCAAGATAGCTCCGAACCTCTCACGGGCGCTCACATCTCACACCATGATGCCAGCCCCGAGTGGACGAATTGGACGCATCCCAAGAGCGGCACGTTGTACACCCTCTCACTCAAGTCCCCGTCGCAGCTCTCACAGGGTGAGCTGCAGGCGTGCTTCCATCTCATCGACTACACAAGCGGCGCCGATTACCGCGCTTCAAAAGATGGGTGGCGGCCGGGGCATAAGATGAGGGAGATGAAGAGTGAAGGATTAAGATACATCATCGTCAAAAAGTCTGATGCGTCAATCCCTGACAAAGCCACTGCTAGTAGTGACGAGTCTGAGGTGGTCAGAAAGGCTGTGGAGGACAAGATTTGTGGGTTCACTAGCCTGATGCCTACCTTTGAAGAGGGTGAGGCTGTGGTGTACTGCTATGAGATTCACCTCCTTGAGGAATTACGAGGGTGAGTTTTTGGATCCTTCCTCCGTCTATTCCTGCTCGAAAGATAAGCCCGGATGAGGGTAACCTGAGGCGGGGACTGGCAGCCGAGGGGCTCGGCTCAGTGCCCAGCACCAACCCGGGGGACAATCCGGATCTCACGCCGGCAGCCCACACCTCCAGTTGTCAATACCGCGAAGAGAAACTGACCAGAATACGATGCAGCACGGGCGTGGGCCGTACACTTATGGATTTCCTCGTAAAAGTGGCAGAGAGCATTCCGATAATTGAAAAGGTGATGCTAACCTGCTTCATCTCCAACGCGGATGCACGCGCGTTCTATGAGAAGCTTGGCTTCGAGATTGATGCGCTGTCTCCCGTGGAGAGGAAGTTGCGATTTGGAAAAGTGTTCGTGCCGGATTACGTCATCATGAGCAAGAGGGTTCGTGATAAGAGGAAGGGTGAAGGGAAGGAAGATCTGGATGAGGTTGGTGAGGTGAATGAAGAGGCGTGATGTGTATCTTGAGTCAATATGCCGGAGACTGCTCCGGCAACAAGTACCGTGCATCTTCGGGGGTGTATTGCAAAAAGAGGGCCCCTGAAGAGCATACCCATCAAGATTGCTAGGCGGCATACATTTTGACACGATGAACAGACGCTGTATCAATTGTTGTCCCCTTTGTCAGACGACTTTTGACCACAAGACACGAACAGTGTGCCAGATGATCTAGCAGCAAAGTAAGTCAGGCTGGGGTAATGACAGACCATGAATAGAGCTAAGGCCCCTTTGAAAAAGTCGCATCTGAGGTCTTACTTCATTCCTTAGGACCCTTCAAAATGGTAAGATGAGATGGAATGACGGGGTTTAGTGGGTGTAACCACAGGAACTTGCAAGGGGCTTGGAAAAGGGGACCGCTGCAAGGCCTGGAAATCCTAACCTGAATTCGGGGGACCGTTTCCACACATTCGTTAGAATCGTCGCAGCTATCGGGTTCGAGTGCGGTGAGCTGAGCTGAGCTGAGCTTTGAACAACTCACTCACGCTTCTTCTCACGCTCCTTTCTCCACGACTCATGTTCGAACACCACGGTCAGGATCAACTCAAAGTTGTGTCTGCCTACGTTAGTCGCGCCGATCACAGTTGGCCCCGTCTCTGGATCGCCCGAGCCCGTTCACTGGAGACACGACGGAGTGAGGCCCGGCCCACACCCGGCAGGCATTTCTTCCCAACTTGGAGGGAAGAAGCGAAGCGTAGAAGCCAAAGACACTGCGATCAATGGCACTGTCTCTCATGTTACACACTCGATCACCACGTGCCAACAGTCAGCGACTCCTAATCCCATCGTCTCACGAAGAGATACCTACAGGAACCAAGATAAAGTCAATACCCCTTACATGAAGAGGAAGTGCTAAACACAGCCCTCAATCTGCCTCGCGAAATCCCCCTTGCCCGCCAAGCTCAGCCCTAGGACGCCAATCCAACATTGTCGGGCCTAGCGTCCCCGCCGTGGTGCATGAGCCGGTTGCTGTCTCTATTAGCAAAGTCTCCAATCACCGCTTCAACCAGCAAGCCACAGGGGGGAAACGAGAGGTCGAGGACGAAGGGCATGCCGACTCGCCGAGTGTGTAATGAATTCACGGGTCATGGTCTGACATATTCTTCTTACGCCGGCGCTCATCAGCTACAAAGTTCTTGCGATAGCTCGGACGCACAGGATTCAGGCAGCCGACAGGTGAGTGAAGGACTTGTGGGGATGTTCATCTCTCCATCCAAAACGCTACCAAGGCTACGAACTTCATGGGCCTGCCAGACTCCAGAGGAATGGTTAGAGAACCGGAGAACAGTGCTTGACATGAGCAAGGCCTCATTCCCTCAAGCGAGAAGCACGTCCCTGTCTCAAAGTCATCAAAAACGCCTATTGGCGTTGTCGTGCAGCAGCCTACACTAGCGCGTGTGGACTGGGGACGAGGTAATTTGTGGTGAAGCTTGTTCTTATTCCCATTTTTTTCAGCTACGAGATAGAGCTACTGTTCTTGTGTGACCACTGGTTATGCTACTTGGGCACCACCCGTTAAGCCAAATGCGGTCACTTTCGAGATGCAATCGGCCGTCTGCATTCGTCCAGCCCGTATTAATTCCTTCAGCCGTCAGCCCGTTTGCTGAAGCGTTGCTCGTGTCTTGTCTTACATGAAGCCCACTCGCTGTATATCAGACCACGGTATCCCTCACCCTCGTTCGCCGGCTTCTTGACGCTCTCTTCGACGTTTCTCTGTTTCTGGAATCCCCCATCTTCTTATAGATCATCTTTGACACTGATCATCACCAGCACCAAGCACCACCGCAGCTTGTCAACATGGATTACTCACAGCAACCCAAGGCGGAATACCAGCAGCCCCAGATGCAGCCTCAAATGCAACCGCAGCAGCAACAGCAGCAGTACTATGAGCAACAGCAACCTCAACAGCAGCAGCTCCAGCACCAGCCCCAACCCCAGCACCAGCAGACAATGCAGCAAGAATACGTTCAAGGCGCCAATGTCCAGACCCAAGAATGGCAGTCAAGCCTGATGGACTGCGGTCCTTGTGATACCTGTATCGTGGGAACCTGTCTCCCATGCTTGCGTAGGTCCCCCTCTTACACTCTCCACTCCTAACCTTCAACCCAAAAGCCCCTCGACTAACACAGATCACCCAACAGTTCTCGGTAAGACCTCAGAGCGCATGCGCGACCCCACAATGCAGACGTACGAGGCCATCAACACAGACTGCCTGCTCATGTGCGGCATCACCTGGTTCACCGGCTGCGGCTGGATCTACGCCATGATGAAGCGCGGCGAGATCCGCGAGCGCTTCGGCATCAAGGGCTCCGGCGGCTCTGACTGCTGCGTGAGCTACTGGTGCGGCTGCTGCGCTCTCATCCAGCAGGATAAGGAGGTGCAGGCGCGTCTGTCGACGGGGCCTATTGTCCAGGGATACCAGCCGCAGAAGGAGGGCATGCACATGCCGCCGCAGCAAGCTTGAGCTACGGCCTTGTGATGCTTGCTGTATAAGGATACGTGATAATAGCCGACGAGGCTGCGGCGTGGGTTTTGTCTTGGTAATGATGGATATTGGTTATGGTATACCCGTGGGAATTGAAGGCAATGGCACCGCCGACTCGGGTTGATGCAGTTGTCATTCGACTGATAGTCTCGAGCACATAGGCCTGGTAACATTTCTTGCTCATAATTGAGCTGGTCGATTTTGATCAATCAAGTTGGTCTTTCGTCTGGTAGTTCTCGCCAAATCCCATACTTGAGTGTATCACTGGAGTTATGGCTGCTTGACGCCCTTCTTGGTCGAGCTCGCCTTGGACGGTGAATCATACCACACTTGGCCGCAACTACAAAACGGCTGTCGCGAGATGCTCCTCTTTCCCCCTTGATCTGTCATCACTACCCCTCTTAAATGCCAAATTGACTTCTTCCTCAAATCGTCTTTGCATGAATATGGCCGCGATGGTATCCCAGAATGTTGTTGCGTCAGCGAAAGAGATATGCGGTTGGATACCGCTCTCGACGAATAGTCTCGGGTAAAGGGCCCCTCTTCCCAAGTCACCCCTTCCGACACAATGCAGCAAGCAAAACAATACAAACGACATGAGCTAATAAGTATACAGATTCTTACAAGAGCCCATCCCGTATGCCTGTGTCAACCCACCTGCAGACTGCATCTCCTCCGGGTCCTACATGGGCTGCGGCAGTCCCATACCCACGACTTGCGTGCAGACAGCGAAAGCCCCGAGAGCATGTGAGCCCGGCCAGCTCTGCTGGTAAGTCGATCTTATATACAATTTCCCAACGGAGGTTCCATCCAAGCCACTAACACCGGACAGTGGGCCATATCCTAACACGGATTGCTGGACTTGGCACTCGATCGACAATACTGCAACTTACACACTCCTACAATGCAGCTCAGTCTCCGGTGTCGGGACTCTAATAGCGGAATCCTTCATACCAGGGGCCACATTAACAGCCACCACGAAAGATGGTTCACCTAGAACCAGTGGCGACGCCAAGACGACCAGAACGGCCGAACTATCCAACCCCACAGCTGGAGTTACCATAGCCACAAAGACGAGTCTTTTGCTACCTGGAATCCCTTCGGAAACATCCGGTTCCTCTGGCGAAGCCTCGCCTGCTGCAATTACCGGGGCCATTGTCGGAGCACTTGCCTTTCTTGGCATCTTGCTGGGTGTGACGGTCTTCATCTGGAACCGAGCCAGGAAGAAGAAGAGACTGGCTCATGAGGCTGCGATTGGAGGGCCCGTAACGCCTATGAGAAAGAGGAATAGTATGATGCCGTTCCATGCGGGAGCCATCAATGTTCCTGTGTCGTCTATTTATGATTACGGCGGCCCATCGAAGAGCGTATCGAGAGGTGATTCTGGTGTTCTGGAAGGCGCGAATAGGCCTCCTCCTCGACCACCAAGAAGTCCGGCTAGGAACATGAATGTCACCGAGGGAGGTTGGATTTAGCGGACAGGAAGACGGGAGGGGCTTTAACGGTTAATCGCTGTGGACTACTGCGTCTTCCATGCCCATAACTTTGCCCTCAAACTTGCAGGAGCTCGCATAGCCTTAGAAACCCCTCATGATAGCCCATGGATTACACATGGAAGAAGCTAGAGTTGTCTCTGCCAAGACACTAGATTACTATAATGGTACGATTCGAGCCAAATATTTAGAAAAGATGTGATAATCTCTTCCCGTACCAAAATCCTTCCAGCCCCAGAGACATAAGTCAAGCTTTAGGCTCAACTTGTATCAGTAGAGATCAACAGGTATCGGTGGGCCGATGGATACTCGAATGCGAGGGAGTGCGAACCAAGCCATTCGAGCCCGGCAGAATGTCGATGCCTAGAGCTGGAACAAGGTCATAGGATTGCGGGCCGCTGCGCGAGTCTCCACATCACACCCACAGAGAGATTGATAACTCTAAATGCTTGCATCAGCCTCTTTCACAGGTTATCCACTCTTGTAAGCGCGACGCTGCTTCGAGAGAACGAGTGAGGCAATGTTTAAGCTCCTTCCATCATGAGATTGGTGACGTCGGGTTAGGGCTTCAAATCTCTCAACCGACCTCGGATGATCTGTCAATCGGCTCTAGAGAAGACGATTGGCTACTTGAAGTTGTCGACAGTCTGGAGAACTTATAAAAGGCAGATGTCTTCGCCATGTTGAAGAAACTCGATTGCAACATCAACAACCACAATTACAACATCATCACACTTAACTGCACCCATAGCCATCCTTATACAACAAATCTTTCCTCAACAACTCCATAGTCATCTTTCACAATGCAGCTCTCAAAGACTATCCTCCTCATCGCCGCGGCCATCGTCCCTTCCGTCATGGCCGGATGCAGCGGTGCTGCGCCTTACCAGGGAACTTGCCTGAAGTGCACTTCCGAATGCCACGACAGTAAGTAGCATAGCCGTCTCATACCACCAATAAACTCTCACTGGACTGCCGAGTTTCGAATTGCTGACGCAGATATCTTCTAGACTTTGGCGGACCTGACCGCATGTCGTCTCTTCAGCGTGCTGGCTGCATGACTAACTGCCTTTTGCACTGCAACGACTGCAACTAGACAGCATCCTAAGGATTTAATCTAGAACAGCCCTAGGTGGTTGGATGACGGGGTGTTCCGGTGCCTTTCGCAAAGTTGGAGTTGGATCAGGGCTCAGATGGTTAATCTTCATGGATGCTTAGATCCTTGCCCAAAAATTTTGAGTCTGGAAGGAATATCATAACAATTAAACAGTCATTCTCAACCGAGCGCAATTAAGTCATTAAGCCGATCTTCTGATATGCATGCATGTAGACCATAGTACGCTGCTTTTAATATTCATCACTGTTCTAATTCCGTGTTGCAATATTTCATTGCCCATAGAAGAATCTCTGAAGAGACACGTACAGGAGATGAGCTAGGATATACCACCGAGCTCGATCGGAGCGATGATTTTCACATTCACGTCAACGTTGGCTCGGGTTGCTCGTAAATGAATGTACTAGTCAAATTCGACCTGGCTGTTGTGAAAATCCTATCGACCCATTTTCCCCATATCTTGCATGGTGATGATCGGTTCCCGAATCTTGTGGTGGTCAAATAACTGTTTCTTTACGGCTTGCCTTGCCTGCAAAGGCCCAGTCTGACAGTTCGTACATACCTGGAAGTGAGCTTCCGGACACGGCAATCTCTGGCATCTCCAACGGCAAAAGCCTGACACATGTGTCGGCCAACTGAGCAGCAGCGAGTCAGCATATATTAAACGTGCTGATCTTCTCTCTGTGTAGCCGAAAGCTCCGTCTGTCAACTTTCGTGAAGGGAATTTGGTCTGTGAAAGAAATTCCACAGACCGAATGGCTATGGGCATAAGTGGAAGAAGATCCAGTTGTCAAGTCAATATAGGTGATGGGGATGGGCGGAATCAGTAACTGGTTTGGGCATCTTTTGGCGAAAATATAATTTAAGTGGATTCAACAAGGCGCTTAACCAGACTTGGGCATTCTGGTACTTTCGCCTTCCTAGTGAGAATGGCTTAGATAGTTCACAAATCAAGAAACGACGCCAAAGGTATATAAAGGTCGATACTACCTTACTTCACCAATCTTCGCATGGCAAACCACAAACTCATCGGCCAACAATCTGATAACATGCATTCCAAATACTTTATGATCTCCATCCTGGCGACTTTGGCATCTGCTACGATCACTTGCTCCAAAGACAACGCCCCATTGGGTGTATGTACAGAATGACACACTCTTTATTTTGAGGGATCTTATGCTTACATGTGAGATTCGTCACAGCCTAAGACATGCGCATATCAGTCTCAAATCGAGGCCTGCCGCGGCTTTTGTCATGTAAGTAGCCCTCGCATTGAAATACTTACTAATCTCAACGAAGACACTGATCATCTGATTAGTCTGATTGTGATTCGTTGTCGTTTGTGTGCCTGCAGTAAGTCGTCGGCGCTTTCTCGATGCGAATATCATGTTCTGACAACGCTAGATCCGGAAATGGACAGGGCAACAACTTTGACTGCTGGTGCTATCCGAGGTTCTAACGGCTTTGCGTGGCTTGGAGGATTAGAGCATAAAATGGCTTATGAAGACTTCACGCTGTTGCCAAAGCCTTGAGCTTCATCTTGGCTACTGTAGAGTGAAGTTTCGAGGATGACACTGTTCATCTACTTATCTCCTCTCGAGTTGCTTTGGCGTGTCGCTCGCCACTGATAATCAGAGGAGCCACCTGCGGAAGACAGAAGGCGCCAATTCAATCAAACCCGTTACAATATATCATATACGAACTCAATTTGATGCTTGATCTAGCTGCCTATGATATTTGATTATCTTTATAATGCAGCCATCGCTTTTGTTATAAAGCGGATATCGACCATGCTGAAGCGGTCGGGTTCAAAAAGCCTCTCCGAACAAGTCGAGAGTTTAGAGTGATCGCGACTTTGATTGAAGGTTTTGTAGATGTCCACAAAATGAAAGGCGGTGTGGACGAGAGTTGTGAAAAAGATATCTGATGGTTGACGTGGTGGTTTAGACTAAAGGATGAGCATGGTCAAGGCAACAATATGCATAAGATGGCGGGGTTCATCTCAACTTTGATAGTTCGCGGACAAAAGTTGACTTGGCAGCGTTGTTCTAGAGCTGGAGAAGAAGAGCTTATAATGCATTCGGAGCTTCCAAAAAAGAAAAGAAAAAAGAGAGTACTCCAAATCAAGCAACTATATCCATTCTGCGCCGCCGCTTACTCAGAGGACAGAGATGCCCTTGGATTTTAACCGGCATACGTAACTATACAAGCTTCGTTGATTACCGACCTATGCCGCGGAGAACGGAATAGTCCACAGGTAATGGAGATCATTGATTTTCTGCTCGGCACGGTCTAAATCGCCGGCCAAAGTTCGACCCAACGCGAGTCATAGTCTCACGAACTTGGACCTTTGGTCTTTCCAGGGAAGGCAATTAGCCCGAATGCAGCATACTAGTAGAGCACACCAAACAGCAACTTCCTTGATGTAAAGACAGATTTCATGTACGGAGTATTTAGTTGAGTAAATAGTTAAGCAATTGGCTGGGAAGTACCTAACCCCGTATGTTCGAATTTTAACTCAAGTTGCGAGCGCAACTATCTTGAGAGCATGCCGAAATCCGTGTAAGGTGGGTCTTGCTCTCGCAACTCATTTAATTTGACTTTCTAGAATTATTTGATGCAAAAGCTACTAGGCGTGCCCGAGGCTCGTTCAATCCGTGGTATCCGAAGTCGCGAGCGTTAGGGATGACAGTCATTATCGTATAAATATAGCTTCTGTTCAGTAATCGCTAGTATCGGGAGTGTAACAGACACCGCACTCAAGCTCCATATCCCGAAACAATACGAACACGCGAATTACACAGCAAATATTCGAAGTATGCTACCTTGATACATTCGTCCTTTGTCGATTACTAACGAAGACTAGAAATGGTCAAGCTATCACTCCTCGCCCTCATCACCCCGGTGATGGCTGTCAACTGGGTCACCATCTCGGCCAAGGGGGACGGATCTTTCGACCAGTTTAACGCCTGGGCCAAGCGGACGTGCCAGAACGACCAGAAGGGACAGGTCTACAGCTCCTCTGACATTTACGGCGACCTGTCGCTCAACTGCTACAACGTCCCGCAGAGCTGGTGCGACTCGTACAAGGGAGGCAAGAACTACCATCCTAGTGGCGTGTCTTTCACCAGCCCCAAGGCTGGAGCCTGCTACCAGCAGTCATAGGGCGGTGGTTGGAACGTTAGTATTTGGTTTGTTTGATACAGTATGGTGCACCATGAGTGGTTCTAGGCATGGCGGTATGCAGTTGCAACAGCGAATCACATATCTTGCTGCATAGGTCCGGGTGAGAGAAATAGAGACCTGGGAATCATAGCTATGGTTCAGAATAGAGCCTTGTATTGTTTTTCTAGGAGAAGCTGCTTTCTAGTTCCTTGTGCTTGAGAAAACCTTGCCACCGAGCGCTACTCGAAGTCCATACTGTAAGCCTCAATAATAAGGAAGGTAACAACTAGCAGAGCAAACTAACTTGATATACTTCAAGTATGCACTGCTACCGTCATCCGATGGATGCCAGCTCCATCACACTCTCATCTGAGGATGGGAGGGTGGTCGTACCCTTCCAGATCTAGTCTCGGCATCTTCATAGACTTTGGCGTCGATACCACGGGGCGGGTACGTGCGGACACGACCACGTTCATCAGCGTGCCGCGTCATCTCTTGCCGACCCTCACGGCTGAGGGGCTCAAGGGGTGCTCGCACAAGTTTCGCCGTATCCCCCGTCGGGTGAGCCATGACACCAACAACGGCCATTTTCTCTCCGCCATTGACCTGGGCCACACGAACCGCAGCCCGGGTCTGAAAAGCATCGTTCGCCGGTCGGCCGTCGGCAGGCCCCA